ACCCAGGAATCCCACTCCTGGGCCTGTATCCAGAAGGAAATCTACTTCAGGATGACACCTGCACCCCAATGTTCATAGCAGCACTATTTACAATAGCCAAAACATGGAAACAGCCTAAATGTCCATCAACAGGTGACTGGATAAAGAAGAGGTGGTATATTTATACAATGGAATACTACTCAGCCATAAAAACTGACAACATAATGCCATTTACAGCAACATGTATGCTCCTAGAGAATGTCATTCTAAGTGAAGTAAGCCAGAAAGAGAAAGAAAAATACCATATGAGATCGTTCATATGTGGAATCTAAAAAACAAAAACAGAAACAAACAAAAACAAAGCATAAATACAGGACAGAAATAGACTCATGGACAGAGAATACAGACTTGTGGTTACCACAGGGGTAGAGGGTGGGAAGGGATAGACTGGGATTTCAAAATTGTAGAATAGATAAACAAGATTACACTGTATAGCACAGGGAAATATACACGAAATGCTATGATAAATCACAGAGAAAAAAATGTGACAATGAGTGTGTATATGTCCATGAATGACTGAAAAATTGTGCTGAACACTGGAATTTGACACAACATTGTAAAATGATTATAAGTCAATAAAAAATGTTAAAAAAATAAATTATTTCCTTTGTAGATTTTCCAAAAAAAAAAAAAAGACACTCTCATGGTTACCAGCCGCCTCCTTGTCATCAAATTAAACAACACTCTTCACTCCTTAACTCACAGAACTCAGTAGCACTCGGCAGGATTAAGGACTCCCTCTTTCTTGACATTTTCTCCCATCTCAGTGCCTGGGCTACCATCTCCTCCTGATCTTTCTCCTGGTTTTGTAGCCATACCCTCTCTTCTCCTTTACCAGCATCTCATGTGTTGGTTTCTTCAGCATCCTTTTTTCTTGCTCCACACTGTTGTGTGGCCCATAGCCATTCCCATGATTTCAGTTGTCTTCTGTACGCTGACTTCTCTCATCTCTAAATCTCTCCGCAAGGTAGTCTGACCTCCCCAGTGAATGCTTCTGACTTGTGTTTCCTACAGGCAATGGACACTCAAAAATCAAATTCACACTTCTTCCTATCAAGTCACCCATTCTGGCCTTTTGCCCCTGTGAATGGAGCTAACACACACTGGATGTCCCACTGTCCTTCCCAGATCCAAGTCCTCTCTCTCCTCTGTCATCCGCATCCAGCGATCAAGTCCCATACATTCCATGCTATTCACACGTTTCAAATCAACCTTTGCCTCTCTATTCCTACCACTGTGTTCTTGGTCGAGTTTCACCTGCTTGTTTGCTGGTTTAATCCAGGATCTTAAGTCACTACCATCACTCTTCCCCCAACCCTCACCCCATCATTCCTCGGGGACTAAATTCAGCGTGTGGAGTTTCCCTTTAAGCTCTCCTGCCTGTGGAGCAAGGAGGGCGCCAGTCATGTTCACAAACTAACTCACAACCTACTGGGCTGCCCTCCCGTACACTTGCCCCTCCAGTCCATCTCCACGTTTGAGCAGTTATCTTCCCAAGGTGTAAAGATCTTTATAGCACTTCCTCACTTAAACCCTTCAACGAGGCCCTCTCGTTTTAAAGGTAAGTTCCCCCCCTCAGTGTGTCTTATGAAGCCCTCCATGACCGGGCCCCTGCTTGCTTTCTATTATGGGCTGCCCTGTGTCCCCCCGACCCCCAAATTCATGTGAAGTCCTTATCCCCCCAGTACCTCAGAATGTGACTTTATCTGGAGATAGGATCTTTACAGAGGTGGTCAAGTGAAAACAAGGTCATTAGAGTGGACCCCAATCCAGAATGGCCAAGGTCCTTATGAAAAGGGCAGGTGTGCTCACAGACACAGACCTACAGAGAGGGAACTCCCGTGAAGGTACAGGGAGGACACCGTGGGGACGTGAAGACGGCCATCCACAAGCCAAGGAGAGAGGTTCAGAATAAATCCTTCCATCACAGCCCTCAGAAGAGATCCTGCCGACACCTCAACTCTGCACTTCTACCCCAAGACAACAAACTTCTACTAACCAGTCTGTGGCACTTTGTTTCCGCAGCCCCAGCGAGCAGGTACAGCTCCCCCTTTTCTCTCCCTCCTGCCCACCATCCCCACCCCACCCCCCTGCCTGCTCGCTCCAGTCTCTAGCCATCCTGAGCTTCCTGCACCCCCGCAACATGGCAGACTTTCATGTCTCCCCAGACCCTGGCACAGGCGGCTCCCTCTGCTTGTAAGGCCCTCCTCCTGGGCTTCTCCCTGGCCGACTCCACTGTCACGACTGGCGTGGCTTGGTGGTCTCCTGGGGAGGGTCTTTCTTGACCATCCTCCTCGCCCAAGATCCCGTGCCAAGCCCTTTCCCTGACACACAGCACAGGGGAGGGACTGGAATGTACTTACTGCCATGGAAGCACTTGTCAGACTAGGCTGTCACTCCTGCGTTGTTTGTTTCCTCCTCTAGGTGACCGACTCCTCTCGAGCAGGGGTTGCGTAAAGTCGTCGACAGTTTGTGCATCGATGCCGCCTCTCGGTAACAGCACCCCAGCTTTCTCGTAGAAGATCTCACTCACCTTCAGCGCTGTCCTCCATGAGATGCAGCTGATCCCGCGTCACAGCCAGTGGCTGCACAGGGGACCCCAGCTCCGGGAATGAAGGTGTAGCTCATCCTCATGACACAGAGGCGGGTTCACGGATGAGACCACTGAGAGACGGCTGTCAGATTTCTGCTGTGACTCTCAGGAAAGAGAAACTCTGTTTGCTGGAATTGCTAACCTGGCAGGATGGACACCTGGGGCTTCCGGTAACCGGTGACCTTCTGGCTTCCACGTGGGGAGAGCCCCCCAGAAAGTACAGCCAGAGCAGGGGAGGCAGGGCCACGGCGTGGACTAGAGCTGACGCCCCCCATTCGGGGGCTCTCGTGGTATCTCAGCCCCTCCACGTGGTTTACATACTCACTGGTGAGCTAATGACGGGCAGGAATTAATTTAGGAGAGGAGATAAAAACCCAGGCTTCCTCGGGCAGTCTGTGCATATCTGATAAATCACCTTGACACCCGACTTATTTTACATCACCATTCAGTTGGCTCAGTTGCTAAACCACTGAAAACACTGGGGTGGCTAAGTTGTGCGTGCACGTATTTTAATAGCATATTTGTAACTACAGAATTGATTTTTCACCAAAGTCCTCATTTACTGAGTGTCACTGGTGGAGGCTGCAGGCGACAGGTGCAGCGTGTGGGGTCAGGGACACTGGAGGTGAGTAAAGTGTGACTCCTGGCGATGCCAGTTTTTAGGTGTGCCACCTCAAGCAATTTACTGAGCCTCCCTGAGCTCGGTCTGGCCACACGTACACTGGGGATAATGGCAGTTGGCTTCACGGTGCCTTTGGGAGGGTTCAGTGAAATAACACACAGCACGATGCCTGGTACATCACGTAGTCAAGAAAAAAGCTTCCACCTCTTTCTAAAATAAACCTTTTATTTAAAAATATATATATATTTAAAAAAGAACACATGCCAACTTTGGTATTTAGCCATTGCTTCTCGTCTTTTCCTGGTAACCCCCATTTCTCTTCAGTATGTACAGCTGAGCGAAGGAGACCACCCCAAGGGGTCCCTGCAGAGAACGGCGCTGGCTCTTTTGATGTGTTTGCAAAGTGCCTCTTGGTGTTTCACTAGGGGAGGGTTTCAAGAGCCCAGCAATGCATTGCCCCCTTCCTCACTGCAGGTGCACTGGCGAGGAACCGCAGGGAACCCCTTCCTTTGGAAAACATCAGGACAGCCTCCAGGACACTCACATTACCATGAGACGTTCAGGAGTCTGTCTTAACCCGGAGAATTCTAGAACCCTAGAATCTACCGACTCCCACAATCAGAAGGGAATGTATTCCTCTGTTATCGAACCCAATGAGTCCTGTTACAATTCCCCTGGAAGGTGAAAGAGGAATCTTTCTCAGATCTCTTCCTGTCTTAAAACCATCTCCTCACATGTAGTCTCAACCTAGCCAGGGCTCCTCTGAAAATGTGGATCCGAGAATCAAACCCAGCTCCTTAACCCACACTGAGCGGCTCTCAGAACCAAAGGGCTGCCTCGTTCCAGGCCCTGCACTCTGTGCGTCTAGTAACACCATCTAATAAAGCATTGGCACTTTCAGCACCTGAACCACCGGCTGGTTCCTACCTGATTTACAGGAGAACAAGGACCCAAACTCTTTCACTCTGCGTTCTCTCACAGCTGACAGCAAACTGTGCACTTGTGGGCTTCCCCCGGGAGGACGGCAGCGGAGCCCTGAACGGAGCCAAGCTGCCCTCACAACCCTGCGCCTCTTCTCCTAAAAGATGGGGACTCCCCACCGACATGCCACTCTTCCCCCCATAAGTGCCCCTTTTGTCTGGAGAGCTTGCAGTGAAGGTCAAAACTTAGGGGCGGGGCAAAAGATGTTTTCTCTGCCCCTCCTTGATGTTTAAGAGGCTTCTGCCTGGCAATGAAAACCACCCTAGAGCTCTCACAGAGGTTCCCAGTGCTATGGGAAGATCTCTGAGAGATAATTTGCTATTGTTTGATCATAGAGAGAAGGAAAAAAAAATGTCAGCATGGGTGCAGCTTTTCGCTAAGAAGGGGCCCTCCCCCTCCCTTAGGGGAACACGAAGACCCTTTTGTCTTCAGAGGCAATGGGTTTCTGACTCAAAAAGCTGGGAGATCCCCAGTGTTCCTGCTTATAGGACCTGCAACTCCCCCGCCCCTCAAATCCTGGACCATCTGCAGGGACAGCGTGGTTCTGGCCATCTGTGGGCTTTGCACAGGTGAGACATCAAGGAATCACCCACTGGATGGGTAAATACGATGCAGCTTTCAGCCTGGCCAGCACTGCTCTCTGGAAGAGCTGATGGAGTTCAAATATTTTTTTGAAAAGTACTATCCTGAATGCTGGTGGTAGGTTTTTGATTTTTTTTTCCAGATTGGAAATAAATATTTCTGAATGGCAAAGGCCACCACTTCCTAGGCCCTCGACTATCCAGGTGGAGACTCTCTCGCCTTCCTCATTTACTGGTGCAATCACTTCATCAGAAAGCATGGCGTCTTATCTAAAATTCTGTGATTTGCTTTTCATAATGCAATGTCTTGGTCAAACATAGAACCTTCCCTCCCTCCCTTCCCCCTCCCCTCTCTCCATTTGTAACAGAACATGTCATCCCAGTAACACTGCTAGAAGCAGGGCTGCTGATGAGCACTGGCTTAATGGAAGCATCCACGCAAAGGCACTTTCTGACTCCACTGGGTTCGGGTGAACCCACGCACTGCACCCCCGCTGGGAGCGGCCGCCAGTGTCTGCGGGTCTGCTTTGTCACGGGGGACTTGCGGGGCTCTTGAGACAACTACGTGTGGTCAGTTTCAGGCTCTAAGAACATTAAGAAACTTGACCACGGCCATCTCATAAGTCTCTGTACATCTTTTAGTCATGCCCAATTTGTCACCAGAGAGAAGACAAAACCAAGAGTTTAAAAGAACTTCAAAAAAAAAAGTCCCCTATAGGAGATGGATAAATGAACATGGATGATCTGATCCACCAGGGGCAGCCAACTTCGTCCACCTTCTCCCAAGCATCCTCAGCTTTTGCTCACAAATCTCACATCGGATGCAGGAGGAGAGAGTGCGTGGCGGGTGCAGGCTGAAAGCCCCGTTCCAGGAGCCTGCTCTGGGGCGGGCGTTCCCTGGGAGGCGTGTGTGCTGGTGCTGGCTAATAGCCTAAAAACACCCCAAAGACGACGCGCAGTCTCACAGGTACAGAGGCCCCCCACCCAAGTCCAGCCCTTCTGGCCTGGAGGAGGAATAACTGACACTCAGACCAGAGTCTCAGAGACTGCTTGCTGTGAGGCTGTTTTCCAAAGGAAGGCAAGGGGGGGCAAAAATCACATAAAAAAAAATCGCACAGCGTGGCGCAGGGGCAACGTCCTGACCAGAGAGCTGTGTTAAGACTCTAGGGAAACGCCAGCATCCGAGGAAGACACGAGCGTGAGGAACGCGTCCCGGGGGCTTTCTTCCCCATCGCTTCGTCGTCGAAGGAACGACCGGCGATGTTCCTTCCCAGATTTTTGATTCTGATGACGGACATTAAAGCCAAGTGACAGAATCACCGAGTGGATCTTCTAAAGCACAATGCGCATCAAGGAATGTGAAAGGCCTGTCGTGTTCCTCTGGGGTTCTCCCATGAGAGGCTGTGTCACCCTTTGCAGCTGCCGGCGCTGGCGCTGTTCTGTCTCTGCACGTAACACTCATGGCCAAGATGAGCTTGGTCATGGTGAGCGACGGGCGGGCTGCGAGTCATCGGGCTGGAGCCATGAGTCATACACAGAGGCAACGTATAGCCCGGGTGATTAATCAGGAAGTCGTAGCGAGAAAGGCCAAGATCATTTCACAGCAGATTGAGGCTTAAAGGCTTTTGGTGTAGAACTCTGCAACACTGCCTTTAAGACACACACACAGCCCCCTCTGTGTATGTATGTGCACATGTGTATGTGTCTGCATACGCATGCATACACACACACACCCACATGCACACATACATATACATACGTATGTCTCTACACACATACGCACGTGGTGTGTGCATGTTTTAATATATATATATATATATCTCTCTCTCTCTATACCCCCTCCCCTCCCCACCCCCCAGTAAGATCTGGCAGCTTTCAGAGTAGCAGACACCAAAAACACTCTGTGTTCACACACGTTTACAAGTGAACAATGGAATGACTTCAAATCTTTGGTTTTTTTTTTTTTCCAAAATGAGAACTGCTAAAATCACAACATTTTTGGTTATTTTCTCCATAAGTGCACAGTGAACGTTTTTTTTTTTTTTTTACAAAAGAAGAAAACAGTGCCTTGGTGATTTAAATTAAAAAAAAAACAGCAACAGCTACTTTCTACAGCATGCAACACTACAAAACAGGGATGGGAGCCAGTGAGCCTCAGAGAGACAGTCCTGCAATCTGAGCTCTTCAGCTCCCAGCGGAAGGGCGAGAGGTGGCGGGAACTGCACGAGGCCGGGGTTTTCCCTTCTTCCATCCTTTTCAACGTGCAATTCTGTTTTCTTTCAGAAACCCTGACCTAACGTACTCTCTCCTTGTAAACAGAACTCAGATTTATCTTTACACCATCCATATTTCCAATTTCCCCAGAGCAACCCAAACCGGTGATGGCTGTCAATCAAATGAGGGTAGAAAGAGCTTTGTGACTGAGGGGCCGAGTCACCAGTTTCTTCGCGAGGGCGTTCTTTTGACTTCCTTTGCGGCGAATTACGCACAGGGAGAAAGAGTTCTCCAGGAGAACCTGGGTCTTTAGCTTTTTAAACTATGGCTTGATGAGGAGTATGGCAGCTGGTAAGATCTGAGAAGTCCTCTTCTCCCAACGTTGGGGCAGAAAGAAAAATTTCAAAAGAGGAGCAAGAAAGGACGGGTACCTTGAAAGAAAAGTAGAATGGGACAAAGAGAAACTGAGGAGGAGCCCCCCACCCCGCCTACCAACAAGGAAACAAAGAAAGAAGTCGGATTTCCATCCCGTGGTAGTAACCCATGGCACTGAGTCCCACGACACGCAGAGCCGTGTTCTCTAGTCCTGTCTGAACTGTCCCTGGTGGGCTTCCCGAGGCTACAGAGACCCTCTGATTTGCCTACACGGTCCTGTCTAGTCCGCACATCTCCAGGGGGCTGTGCTGGGAACCTCCGAGGGCAGGAGGTGTGGTTTCTCCCTCTTGCTTGAAGGCTCCTGCCTGCTCCACACGTATCATCACAGACACAGCGGCGGTGATTCAGCACCTGGCTGAGAAAGAGGGACATTCTCGGTGGGTCCTTGCGACCAAATGTAGGTCAGCTGTCCACAGTGACCACACAGAGTCCTGGGGGTGGGAGAGGGGCCACTCCGATGGGCAGGTTTGTGGCTGAGGGACCCTGAGTTCACTTCACTTCCCCGGGAACAGACTGGTCCTGTCCCTCTCTTCTGCCTGAAGAACTTGGCTGACGCTGGCCTGACCTCTATGTTGAAAGACAGGTAACGGACAGACAGAGGCGGCCCCCATCACGGGTCTGTCTTCCCTAACCTTTGATGAACTGGCTTCCCTGGGTCCCCCAAAGCGTTAACATTTTTCTCTCCACGTATTTGTAATAAATTCACGAGAAAAGCTTACGATGTAATGCCTGAGAAACAGTACAGGCTAGAAAAAATACTGGTGTTTGAAAAGGCAGGAAAAGGATTTTTTGGTGGGGGGCACTCTTGATCTGAAAAAGCACATTTTTGAATGCATCGCTGAAATCGTGACCAGTTACCGACTGTTGGTAACCATTACATTTTATACGTATATGAGACTCCTGTGTGTCCCTGCTGGTTGTCACAAAAGTCCCCGTTGCTTCTTTTTAAATCTCTCCTGCTCCTCCTCCTCCTCCTCCTCCTCCTTTTGGGCCGTATGAGGATTCACGGTTTTGTACTCCCCCCATGGAGTTCCTACTGGTCTTTCTGAGCACGTCCTGCCGGGCTTTCTACCATTGCTGCAAGTGGAGGTCCATGGGGGAATTCAAATTGAGATCTGTGACATCCAGGAAATCGATGTTGAAGATGCTGGGGCCGCCGGTGAGGGAGCTGAAGCTCGGGGTGGAGCTGGGCGGCGTGAGGTCCAGCCACTCCATGCTCTCCCAAGGGGACTCCGTGAAGCTCAACGGCAGCCCGCTGCTGTCCACGGACGAGGGTGAGAACTGAGTCTGCATCGGGGAGAGGGGGCCCGGCAGGATCTCGTGTGCGCTGAAGAGCTCCTCCGCAGCCTTCCCAGAGAAGCTGTCCATCAGCCCGTCGAAAGGAGGCTCCTCGCCCCCAGTTTTCAGGAGGGCCACGTCGCTCACCTTCCCCAGGGGGCTCTGGGAATTGAGTAAAACTTCAAGATGCTCGTCACTGTCCGCGCCGTAGTGATCGAAGGAGAGCTGGCCCCCCGAAGACACTTGTTCAAAGGAAGCCGAGGGCTTGGGGAGGGCAGCTGTGGAGCTTCGAGAAGACCCGGGTATCTTGGGGACTTTCCGGAGACAGGAATGGTCCTCCCGGGCATCAGCTGGCATTTCTGTTGGAAAACACAATGGGAATTGTTCAATTGCTTCCGACAGAGCTTGACACAGTACGCATCTTTGGAATGAATGACTTACATGCAGACGCGGGAGGTGGTCATGCTTCTCCGGTCACTGCTCATCCCCCAGGCTCTTCCCTAAACCACGCTGGATGTTGCCAATTCTTCTCCCCTCTGGTCTCTCCCCAAGCCCTCACCTTCTGGAAGTTCCAGTCTGATTATCAAACGCTCAGAGCAAGTTCTTCTGCCTGCTCCCTCCCTGACACCTGGCCGTCCCCCGAGGACACCACAGCCTCCATTATTACCCTCTCCGGGGCTCATTTACTTTGGAGCCAGAAGATGAGTCACCAGGGCTGTCCCACTGCTGCTTTCTGACTGTCACACCCCCTCCTTCTTATAACTCCTCAGTGGTTTTGAGGGTCACGCCGCTCTCCTCAGCCCCTAGTCTCCTGGTCCCCCTCCCCCCACTGAAAACTCTACTCCCCAGGTCACTGCTTCTTCCCCACTTCAACTCCTGTCCTGCGACTTCAGCATCCCCAGAAGTGACCTGCTGTCCATCTGGCCTCTCAGTTCCTTGACAGCCCATCACCCAAGTCATTCCTCCACCCCACCCTGTTGGACACACGCTGGACCTTGCTGTCCCCCTAAACTGCATCCGTCTGAAAGCACGATTCCAACCAACACCTCCGGTCTCTGTCCACCTCCTCCCTTTCCTCTACTCACTCCCTAAGGGCCTCACGACAACAGCATCTCAGCCCCTCGGAGTCTCTCCAATCCACCGACGCTGCTACTTTGTCCCCACCCATCAGCCCCTTTGGTCTTCACCTTGCTCCTCACCCAGTCTCTGCTCATCGTAGTTCCCCTCTCGTGCTTTCTCAATCCCTTGCTCTCTTCTCCTGTCTTCATACTCCCTTGGCAAAACCCACACCTGGATGAGTCTTATCATTGGTCTTCTCTGAGCCAGCCCTGGATCAGCTGGACTTCCAACAGAAAAGTTGTGCAACGAAGCTGACTGGCTCCCCTTGAAATTCACGATGTCAGACCTACAGCAGGCACTTGATACTGTGAGCAATTCTCCCGTGCTTCTCCAGGAAACTCAACGCACCTTCGATCGAGTCATCACTGTTCTTCCTTCCTCAGATCTTCTGTGCTCCCCGCTCCGGCTCCCTCACTCTTTTCTGACCTTGCCATACACTTCATTAAAAATACGAGGGTGTCGGATAGGAACCCGCTCATCCTTCCATCATGAAACTGACAACGATACATACACCTGCGCCCATCCTTTCCTTCTTCTTTCTTGTTACAATGGAGTTGCCTGTTTGCTGCTCGCTGCCCACCACCCTACCGGACCACAGACCCCACAACGGTGGGGACTCCGCCCGTGGCAGCACTGAACCGGCCGTGACGCCCAGTCACTTTCTCTCTGAAACTTTAAATGCTGTTAGATGAGGGCTCAGATCTCTTCTATCCACACGTGCTCCTGACACGATCTTACTCGTTTGTGTGGTTTCAAATTGGAGGCACTTACTATGGATTTTTTTTAAATAAATAAATGAATGACTTAAAAGGAGGCAAAAAAGGACAGATTGATCATTTTTTATTGGTAGCCTGAACGACATTTAAATACGAGTGGGCTGTCAGTGGGAGATGACTAATTAAATTTCCCTTTGAGTAGACAGCACAAAACTTGCTTTATCTACTTTCTTTGTCTTCTTATAATTAAGAAAACAGGGACACTGGGATGAGTACGGTAGGGAGAAATGGTGTCGCAAGAGAAAAATGGGGAAACAGCAACTGAGCTGAAAGATGAACAGTGTTGAAATTATTGGGGGGAAAACGTCCCTAGGACAACGGGACAAAGGCGGGGGGAGTCGTCAACCCTGCCTTCCTGTACTGGTTTCACGTGTGGACAGGAAGCTCAGAGGAAGTGCCACTCTACCCAGGGATGGCTTTTTGGTCCAACTTACAGTGAACATGTGACCTTGGTCCTAAGGGCTCATGCCCAGAGTGCACGCAGGTGCAGAGCGTCTCGCCACCTTACCTCCGCTTTCAATGAGGACGTCCAGGAGCTCGTCCATCTGCTGACTCCGAGTCATCTGCTGTTGCACGTTAACCAAAAGAGAACAGAGATGTTAAAAGGTGGCTACCGCTTCCATGAGAAATCGTCAGAAGCAGCATGGTAGGGTTTTGAACCTGGTTTGGTTAGGGTTTTTTTTTTTAAATTGTGGTAAAATACATACAACATAAAATTTACCGTCTTCACCATTTGAGAGTGTACAGTTCAAATGCATTAAGTTCATTCACACTGTTGTGCAACCATCACCACGGTCCATCTCCAGAATTTTTGCCACCCTGCAAAACTGAAACTGTCCCTACTAAACACTAACTCCCCGCTCTGCCTCCTGCCCTCAGCCCCTGGCAACCACCATTCTGTTTTCTGTCCCCATGACTCTGATGATGCCAGGCATCTCATGCAAGTGGATTCAAACGGTACTTTTCCCTTTGTGACTGGCTTATTTCACTTAGCATAATGCCTTCAAGGTTCGCCCATGCTGTAGCAGCTGCCAGAATCTCCTTCCTTGTTCAGGCTGAGTAACACTCGTTACAGGTACCGACCGCGTCTTGTTCCTCCACCCAGCCAGCGACGGGCACCTGGGCTGCTTACGCCTGCCGGGCTTCGTGAACAGCGCTGCTGTGAATATGGGGGTCACGGGCTAAGGCGTCTTGAACCACGTGCGATGCAAGCTCAGTATTAACTGTGGACAGGAAACCACTGAGGAAAACAATCTGCTGCAACAAGGGAAGGGGAAGGAGGCAGAAGGCTTCTGCCCTGAGCCTTCCAGAGCGAGCTCAGCTGACAGGGAGGTTTCCCTCCTGGGAGCAGGAAGCCCTGATCCCTAGGTGACACAGCTGTTTCTCTCATGTTGAAGTGACTTGGCTCTGCCTCCCGCTCGGGTCCGTGGATGTGGCCCAGGAACGTGGCTCATGTTTCCCTGGTCCCTCATTGTAACAGCCCGCAGAGCCTGGTGACACTTGTGGGGCTCGTAGGGAATCTACCTTCCCCTCTGCTCATCTGAGTTGTTTAGTAGACTCAGTGGTGGAAGTCCACTTTGCCTGGTCCTTTTCTTTAAAACCAAGAAGGATCAGCTGATGTTTACAGATACCAGGGGACGAGGATGGGGAGAAGAGAGGCACAGACTGATCTCACTCTTCGGGGAGCCCAGTCCCCAGAATGCAGGCATCAGCGATCCACAGGGATGAGCGCACTGCTTAGAGAACGGGTCATCTGCGTGAGACACCTACAAGGTCCGACAGGAGCCACACACAGGACAGGGAGGAAGAGCCAAGTGCAGAGGGATGCGCTCCTCCCAGGACGGAGAGGGTGCTTTGTTTCAGGCAATGGTCATCTCACAGAAACGTGCCTCCGGGGCTGCCAGATCTCTGATTTTTCAGAAATGAAAAAGCCTACCTTTTGCATAAAAATATCCTGATATTGAAAACACTCTCTCAGCCAAATGAAACCCGACTGCGGGCTGGGAGGTGGGTACCACGATGCAGTAACTGAGGAAGACCTTCTTCTAGGGGCTGAGTACATGCGAAGGGCCAACTGATGCTTTATCCAAGTTCAGACCATTTGAGATATGGGATCATGCTTTTTTTTTTAAGTTTTTATTTGAAAAATTTCCAAACATAAATGGATGTGGAGGAGACAATGAATTTCTATTATTACCCCATCAAGAACCATTAACATTTTGCCAGGATCACTGAATTCTGAAACTCAGAAGAACCTTCAAAACTATGACCCCAACAATTACTCTCAGATATCTGGGAGCCCATCCTGGGCCTGGACAACGTGGTGAGTGCTACGTCATCTAGAATCCTTGCAGAGTAGACACTGCCCCCATTTTATGTAAGAGAGGTCGAGGATTTGCCCAGCCTTCTGGTAGTGGCAGCTGGCTGGTGGCTGAGCTGGCATGAAGTCCAGGCATCTGGGTGCCGGGCCAACCTCCTCTCTGCCTTGCACAGTGTCTGCACACACACAACGCCCTCCACAAGCAGCATCCGGCACTCTGCTCGTTCCGGTGGGGAGAAGGCAGACTCACTCAGAGACGGCGTCTACCCACGTGCAGCTGAACCACGCGGCACAGCTTCCGCTCAGTCAGCCGACTCCTATAAAGGCTGCATCGCGCGTAAGCTTACCTGCTTCACCGCATCTTCATAGGACGGAGGCTGTGTTATGTCTGGAACTGCTGAAGGGGACTTAGAAAAAGTCGGGGATGGAAGTGGAAACTTTGGCCCTGTCTTATCAGAAGCATGTAAACCGGCGATCTGTGTGAGTAAAACGCAGAAGAAGACCATCAGTCCGTGCATCAGAAACGGTACAGCTTCAGCTTTAGAAATGACGGGATCAATTTTGGAAAAGTTGATTTAAGGGGAAAAAAGAACCAGGGCTTAAATACATATTACATGTGGATTATAAATATATATTAACAATAGCACATATCACTACGGACTCATCGCTGGGAGCATCTCTGGATGGGAACCTCAACAATTCACTCCCCCCCACCCCAGGTGTACCCTGGCTGTTAGGAGAAAGAAAATAAAGCAAAGGGTCCAGTCCAACACAAAGAGGTCCATCAACCCAGGGATCTCCAGAGCCATTTCCCTCTCAGCCCGTTTCATTCCTAAGTGGGTGCAGGTGCAGAGAGCTGGAGCATGCCTGGGGTGTCTCTTCATGAGCCAGCCTCGTGTATCGTGGGTGCGTTCTGCGGAGGGTCCAGGCCATGTCAGGCAGGTCTCCATCCTCGGAGGACGCCCTGCCCAGTGGCAGGCAGCACCTCTGCGTCACGGCCGTCCGCTGTTCCCTTCCTTCTTTCCCCACTCCCATGCTCCCTGCACCCTGATGTCCTGCGTCCTTCACATCCCTGATTCTCCCACCTGCGGAGATGGCTCTTTGCTTCCTTCTCGCACTGTGACTCCAGCCCTCTGCCCTCTCTAGTCCTTTCCAGGGATCCAGTACTTCCCGCTTTCCCCACATTATTTTCCCATGTCCCCTGACACCCATCTTCCACTTCACTGAAACTGGTTTGTCCACCATCCTGTTTTTGCAAACATACCCTGGTCATTTCAGTCACCCTGATTTCTGGGATGAACCCAGGAAATGAGTCCGTGGAGCACCCTGACTCACATCTGGACCTCTGTTTCTGTCCTTTGCAAGTGGACTTGTTTCTATTGAAAATGTCATTTGTTTCTGCCTTGGGACCTCAACGTTTGGAGGACAGGGGCCACAGAGAGAGAAGAAGCAAAGTCAACCCCCAGTTTAAACCTTTTCCCAGCTGCCTACCTTGTGCTGGACGCCCGGGCTTTTGGGGCAAGGGTTGCCCCCAGCACCATGACCACTGTCTGGCTGGGTTCCAGAGAAGGAGGGGTGGAGGCTGGAAGGCTGGGGAGAGAAGCTTGGAGGGTGGCCCTCATGTGCCCCCGAGTTCTGCAGAAAGGAAAGAGTGACCAATTAAACAGCCACCAGCAGCACACTTGAGAGCAGACTTGGCTGAGACCACTGGTCCCTGCCCTGGGGTCTTATCTTTCCAAACCCCTCAATTCCATGACCAAGGAGATCATCACCAAGTCAGCTCTGGCTTTGGATATACCTGTTCAAAAATTTTCCATGCCTTCTGCACATCCTCAACAGAGGGTGTCCACATCTCAGCGGGGTAAGTCTTCAAGACACTCCCCAGTCCAGTGCTATCTCCTTTCGCAAGCTTCATTCTACGAACCCCTCCGAGAGCTTCCCTCAGCGCTCTGTGCGGTCTCCCTCCCGGTGTTTCTTCACGTGGAACGACCTTTTCCTGACCCTCCTTTTTCAGCTCTACACTTCTCAAGTCCAAACCCTTTGCAAAGCTGTCCATACTTTTCAGGCCCTTCACGATCAATACCCACCCCCTCCAATGCTTTGTGCAGCATTTAATGTCGTAAGTGTAGATCAGCAGTTATCTCACATTGCTCTGTATCTTTTTCGTTTTTTATCATGTCATCATTTATGTCTTCAAAGACCGCTTTGGGAACCATCGATTACTGTACAAATGGTAGTTCTTCTTGAGAGTAGAGATACCATTAAATCGAGCATCTTCTGGTCCAAAGCTATGTATTTCAAGAGCTATTTTTACCTTTGTTTCCTAGGACACTATGCACTCAGTACCTGCTGTCAGCGATGATGATTATCCAGTGAGTCCCACTCCTCCCAGAGCTCCTGACTCAGGAGTGAGCACCGTCTGTGTGAATGTGTTGTTCTGGCAGGTTCATAAAAGTGTATTCTCACTACCTATGGCCACACTTCATATGCCAGGGTAGAGAATATTCAGAGTAAAAAGGGCACGCACTTCAGAATCAGACAATCCCATGCTCCTGTGGCCCTAAGCAACTGGCTTAACCTCCCTAGGCCTTATTTTCCTCAATAGCAAAGAAAAATAAATTGGAACTTATGATGCATGCTGCTACCACAGGGCCTTTGCACTTGTTCTTTCTTTGCCTGCAATGCCTTCACCCTAAATATTCACACGGCTTTCTCCTTTACCTCCTTCTAATGTCCCTGGCCTTTCTATTTCAAGTTGCAATTTTCCAAACTCCTCATCTCCCTTATCTGTTTTTTTTTCCTGTAAGATGTTTCATTTTTCTAATATAAACACTTTACTTACACGTTTTGTTTACTGTCTGTCTCCCCAGGAGAACAGGGATTTCTGCTTGGCTAGTTTGACACTAACCCCTAGACACTAGAACAGGGCCTGGCACACAGTAGGTACATATTTACACGGTGAGAACAGGAAGGTCTGGTAACTTCCCCATTGGTCCTCTTGCTGAGCCAGTTTGGCCTTTGGTAAAACTTGATCCCAAGGGGTCCTAGGAACAGCCCTATAAGCCAAATCTGGCCCCTTGCTTGCTTTTGTAAATAAAGATTTATTGGAACACAGCCACGTGCATTCAATTACAAGTTGTCTGTGGCTGCTTTTCTGATATGAAGGTAGAGTTGAGTAGTTGTGACAGGGATCGTGTGGCCCGCAAAGCCAGAACTATTTATAACCTGGCCCTTTACAGAACAAGTTTGCCACCCTGGTCTCGGAAGTGAGTTTGTTCTGCCATAAAGGCTTGTGGCTCACGGCATCTGGGAGTTGATGCTGGACTTTTGGTAAACCCTCCCCATGAAAAGTTCCAACGTCAGCTCTGCAGCAGCTGCAAAGCCACACCCCACTTCCAGGAAGAGGGGCGCACCGGGCATGGGGCCGGGAGTCCTCACCTGTGCCGGACACAGCTGGCCGCTGACAGGGGAGGAGGCCCTGCGCTCTTCTGGGGCGCCTGAAGAGGAGGGCAGGAAGTAATGGTTGTTGGGTGACGGGGGCAAACTGATGTGCTGCGGGCTCTTCACTGCCCCGAGCGGCGAGTGCTGGGGCGAGCACTGCGGGCTGAGAAACGTGGACGACAGGACGCTGGTCTGACCCGAGGGCTCGGCGCAGGGAGCGTTCCCAAGGGGCAGGAGCTGAGTGGCTTCGCAGGCCGGCGGCAGGCCCTCCAAGCTGCTGCTCTGTCTCTTCACAGACAGCGGTGGGGATGCGAAAGGACAGCTGGAGACAGCGTCCTCCTGCTTGATGGGGGCGGCGGCCAGGAAAGGCAGCGGCTTCTTCTCGGAGCCGTGGCTCCTCTTCTGCTTCTGTAGCTGCATCCTCAGCTCCTCCACCTGCCGCTGCTCCTGCTGGAGTTTCCAGGTCAGCTCGTTGATCACCTTCTGCTTCTCCACCAGCATCTTGTCCTTCTCGGAGTCCAGCCCGTCCAGCTCGGGAGGGATGGAGCCCCCGTTCAGGCTGCTCATGAGGCTTTCCTCGGCACACGCGTGAACCGGGGATGGGTGGAGGCCGAAGGACGGGGACGCGTCGTTGAAGGTATCGGGCAGGGACCCCGCCACCGACAGGTCGGACGAGGCAGGTGAGATCGGGGGGCTGGAGCTGGTGCTGCCGAAGTGGTAGAAGCCGTTGGATAAGGCGCTGGTGGACGGGGAGGACTGGTACCCGGGCGGTGCGCTGGTGGGTGTCACGGGAAAGGTGACAGTCGTTATATCCCCGAAGTTGGGCACCGTGTTCCCGGAACAGTCCTGGAAGGGCCGTAGCCGGTCCATGAGGGCCGTCTTGGTGCCGGACACGGGCAGACCTCGTATTCGAAGCTGTTGTCTTAATTCAGAGACCTAAAGAAACCAGGCGGGGTTAGTGTTCGGGCTGCTTCCTGACAATCTTTTTAAAAATGTATTTATTATTGCAGTAGCTTTTTGTGTTAACACATCACAGACTGAATTTTATAATGTCCACTTACTTGTTTCTGATTTCCTCCTTGACACCCGAAATACACTGGTTTTGCACAATTTTAATGATTTCAACAAATTGTCCTACATCATGTTCTCATGGTCCCAGATCACAGGAATGTCCAGCTCGAAGGAAGCACAGGGTCTGGCTAGTCTACTGTCCTCCAGCCCCCATCCCGGTCCGCATCCCTCTCTTTACTCTCTTTACAGGTGAGAAAACTGCCTCTAAATTCTTAGTGCAATATCAGGGTTTGCTGTTATTATTACGCTGATTCACATGTAATTATTTCAGTCCTGCATTTTTTTGTGTATTCATAAATGATAAATTACAGATATCTAAAAATATGAGAGACATGATGGGACACTATAGATCCATTAAAAGGGATGCTATAAATATCTGTGGATATAAAATAATGAATAATTGCTTATGGTATGTGATTAAGGGGGGGGTAGGTTTGAACTGCTTGATTCTATTTCTCTAAGAATTATATAAATATGTCTATATATATATATGTTTCCATGCTTGCAGATGGAAATACCTGGATAAAGACATGCTAAAATGTTAAGAATGGTTCTCCTGATCTGTTTCTGAAATAGCCCATATTAGCACGTTCCTTTTGTAATTGAAACAGGAAAGCTGTTAAATACCTAGATGTCAATAACCCCACAGAACAGCTAGAAATCTATAGGGAAATATTCTACTGATATTTTGTAGGGAAAGATCTTTTGAGCATCAAAGCAAAGAAAGTAATCATAAAAATATTGACCACAAAAATGGAAAACGCCTATAATTCAAAAATTTATTTTTGACTATGTTTCTTTTTAGAATCTGCTCTGGCACTGGAAGAAAATGCAAGTACAAACAGCAATCTCATTAAAAAGACAATTTTCAGGGCAAATAATAAAGTGTTAGTAAGCTCAATGTATCAAGTTGAACAACCCTAAAGAAAAAGATCGACACCCAGTATAAAGCCAGGTCAGGACATGATCCAACTCCTCACAAACACGAGATAAAATCAGAACAGAAAAGTGGCTGGCAGAGACAGCGTAGCTCAGTGGCACAGCATGTGCTTAGCATGCATGAGGTCCTGGGTTCAATCCCCAGTACCTCCATTAACAAATAAATAAATAAACCTAATTACTTCATCCTCAACAAAATTAAAAAAAGTAAAATTTAATTTAGAAAAATGGCCAATAACATAGTGTACCATCGTTAGTGTTCTAAGAAGTGCAAATAAAATATGTACATAGTTTAATATTCATTAAATTGACAAAGAAATGAATAATAAGACTTTGTGTTAGTGAAGTAGCAGCAAAAATAAGTGAGTAAAAAATTAAAAAAGAAAAAAAGCTCTTTAATACCTCGTTAGTCCAAGCGTGGCCTTCAGGCCAGCAGCACGGGACAGCACCTGGGGGCTAAAGCTAGAAAAGCAGACTCTCTAGCCCCTCCCACACCTACTGAGTCAGAAGCTGCGTTTCAGCAAGAGCCCTGGCACAGCCGGGCTTGGGGAGAGCTGCCCAGCGCACTGCTTCCGGGGGACAGGCCGCCCGGACGTTCAGGGCGGAATGTGGTGAAGCGGATGAAGAGCTTGTAAAAATATTCATGTGTTTGGGTTCAGGAGTTCCACTCCCATGTATTTAGCCTGGGGAGACAATTAGAGATGATAATAAATGTGTGTGCAAGCTCTATTTTCAATAGCAAAAATTCAGAAGCAAGTTAAAAGTCCAATAGATGGATGCTAACTGGGTGGTGAAATGACAGGCCAGTATGACAACTGAAAATGCCACTGAATGTTAAGCATGAAAAAAGTTCATGACACACAAAACACAAAAGCATGCCGGAAATGACTGCTCACGTAATTATTTTAAAACAATTATTATCACTATTTTTAAATTGAAGTGTAGTGGGTCATAACGTGTTAGCTCCTGGTGTGGAGCACAGCGATTCAGTTATGTACATGCATGTGCTCCTTGTCATCTCCTTTTCCATCACAGGCTCTTGCGGGGTATTGAACACAATTCCCTGCGTTCTGCAGGACGACCCTGCTGTTTATCTATTTTAGAGTAGTTATCTGCAAACCCCGGACTCCTCATTTATCCCCCCGCCCCTCGGCTACCACGAGTTTGTCTTCTATGTCAGTGAGTCTGTAGAACAATTATTTCAAAAGAAGGCATGCCGATATGTATTTTAAGTCTGGAAGGAAATACAGTCTGCAATGCTCGCCGTGAGTCAGCTGTCCTTTAGAATACCTTCTACGTTTCTCTCCGCTGTCATAATTCAACGGTGAATACACACTACCGTACGAGTTATTTAACAAGCCATCTTAGAAAGGACTGCAACAACGTACCGCACCGCCAGCAACAACACATGCTCCCTCCCCCAAGACCAGCGAGCCTTGTTTCACCCTTTTCTCTTAGATTTGCTGGTTTGAAAAAGTGAAAAATGGCAACTCATTATTGTTTTAATTTTGAACTACTTAAAATTAATGAGTTCTACATCTATTTTTAGAATCTGCTCTGGCACTGAGTAATTTAAACTACATTATTAAATAATACAATTCATAGTCTAAAATAAAATGTTGAGTCCAGTTTAAATTTCAGAATATTATGCTGTGGAGGCTTGCTTGGGACACAGATTTGTATACAGCTCTTTCCTACAGTGACTGGTGTTTTAATCATTGATACGTTTTAAGCCATTTATTATGAAAATATTCAAACATACACAAAAGTAGATAGAAAAGTACAGTGACCCCATAAACCCATTAACCAGCTTCAGCAATTCTCAACTCATGCTTGTTTCATTTATACCCTGATCTTGTTTGATTTATACCCCAAACTACTTCTTCCCTTACATTTCCTGAATTATGTAGAAGGAAATTGCATATTTAAATCTGTAAATATTTTGGTATCTTTCTCTAAAAGGCAAGTACTTAAAAAAAACATAGATACAAGATCATTATCACACCTAAAAACATGAACAATTATTTCTGAATATCGATCAAATATTTCCCCAGCTTTAATCGTCTCATTTACTCCCCCACCCCTGGAACCCCTCCCTCTCTTTCTCTGTCTCTGTCTGTCTGTCCATCTCTCTCATGCTTTCTCTATCAGTATCTCTCTGGCTCTCTGACTCTCCAGATTCTTAGAACAGGGTACAAAACAATCCGTCTACTGCAAAATTACCACTTAAAACTTTTAAATGAGGATCACACTTTTTTCTCAGTGCTTTCCCCCGTTCACCTCTATGTAGCAAAGCATGAGCATTTCTGGAAAACGTCATCTTCGCTCCCTTTCTCTGATTACTTCTTTTGAGGGTCACCTTCATTAGTTTCTCTTACCTCTTCTTTTCCCCGAATGTGGTTCCATCATTCGCTTCCTTCATTCCCTCTTCTCCCCCCACCCCACCCTGACCCTTTCCATTTCGCCCTCCTCCTGTCTCCTTCAATCCTCCAGGCCCAGCCCCCCACTCACTATGCAAAGGGTTCGGAGATTCCTGTTTCTCTCCCTGATGACGCAGGTGAGTGGAGAGAGGCTGGTGTACTTCTAGCTGGTGGAAACTGGCAGGACTTTTTCTCTTGATCATCCTGCTGGTCCCTGCAACTTGACATTCCTAAGCTGAATGAACGTGCCAACATCCTTCCAATCAGCTCCTCTCTCTGCCCTCCCAGTTTCTGCCCCCCCCACCCCAGTTTCTGCCCCTGCTGAGACTCTCCCAGGTGACACCTCTCCCCGCACACCCAGTGGTCAAACCCAGTCAAAGGTCCGCCTTCTCCACTCTCATCTCAAGAACAATAGCAAAGCTTTCCACATCAGTCACTTGAGTTCAAGCCCCAGGTTCATCATTTAGAAGCTGTTTAACTTGCGTATCATTTAACCCCTATCTGATTTTTTATGTTCACATTTAAAACTTATCTTCAAACAACAAGGTCCTACTGTACAGCACAGGGAACCACAGTCAATAACTTGTAATACCTATAATGAAAAAGAATATGAAAAAGAATATATACATACATGCATAACTGAACCACTGTGTTGTACACCTGAAACTAACGCAGTATTATAAATCCACTAAGCTTCAATAAGAACAAAACAAAAACAAATGATCTTGCAGGGTAAAATTTAAAGCACACTTATGTAGGGTGTGGGCTAATGGTTTATACTCAAAAAATGGTAGCGGCCACTGTCATTACCATCATCTCCTCAGACCCGTGCTAATTATGAGAACCATAACCAGCCAGTGATTCTGAGCATGTGTGGGTCAGGGAAGCCACCTCTAGGGGCTCTCACAGGTGGCACATCACATGTGGACAATGTTTTGTTTGGGGCCAAGACATCTCCAGTTCTATGTGACCTGGGCTCCCATCCAGAGATAGACTGCTTAAAAAAAAACTTTTCAAAAGGCATGTAACATAAAATTTACCATTTAATAATTCTGAAGTGTACAGTTCAGCGGCATTAAGGCCAATCACAATGTTGTGCAAATATCACCACTATCCATCTCCAGAAGGTTTTCATCATCTCAGATTGAACCTCTGTCCCCATTAAACACTCAGTCTCCATTCTCCTGTTCCCTGGCAGTAACCAAAATTCTGATTTCCGCCTCTGTGAACTTGAAGGCTCCAGGTATCTCCAGGTATGAACGCGGTATTTGTCCCTTTGTGTCTGGTTTACTTCACTTGGCACACAGTTTTCAAGGTAAGAGCGCCTACTTTTATCTCTACAGACTTACGATCTGGGGAGTGAGGGGCAGTGACCACCGCTCTGCAGAGTGTCATCGTGATCCTGGCTTCCTCTTCTGCATGTACAGTTGCCAAATTGAAACAAGCTCAACAAAACCTAATGTTTTTATTCCAAGTGTAAGGAATAGAGAAACCTTTGATATCAGGGCCCACGATACATTTTATTTACCGGTGTTGGCACTTGGTAGGCATAGAATTTCCTCTGACTTCAAAGAGTCCCAGGCCTGCCTTTCCGGCAAAGAAGATAATAACTGAAGACTGAGCACGGGAAGGCGGGTGACCAATGAGGACTGAGGGCTGGGGGAGGTCATAAGGTCGGCCCAGGGAAGACCATGGGGACCTTAAGAAATTTAGTCTTTTGGGGAAAATGATACAGTCCCCTTGAGGGGGAAGAGTAATTGGTGGGGTGGAAACCAGGTAAACGGGGTGATCACTGAAGACGGAGCAGGCACTGGAGGAAGGTGTGCTCCGGCATTAGCGGCACAGAAGGGCACCCCCTCTCCCCCTTCTGTCCTGTTGTAATCACTGGAAGGACGAGTCTGCCAGCCCCGAGGACTGCTCTGAAACACCCCAGGTTCAACTCAAAGCTCAGCATCCTTTCAGTGAACTGTGGTCCACGTGGCCTGTGGTCAGAGGGAACTGTCAGCACCGACACGGCCGCTAACAAGCTGTTGCTACGCTTTAGGGCAGGGATTCTCAGACTGGGGGATTTCACAGAACAGCGCCTTGTTTTAAGCTGTGTGATGGACGTAGGGTTACCAACACTTTACCTGGTTAAGGGCTGTGCACCTTATTGAATGATACCCTGGTTTAATAAAAAGAAACAAAACTCCACCAGAAACTCTCAATTTCCATCCACCCCAGTCATCATTCCCTGATGGAAGGAAGGGACCTTTTAACGTTCAAAACATTGGTGGGAAATAAATACTCTGGATGAAGATTAGTCAGATATGTTGAATGCACTCAGATTTAGGAAAAGGTCTTTACGTGGTTCTTGTTTTTTTATTTCAAGAGACCAGTAAAAGTCCATCGTGCAGTCGGCCACTGGGAGCTTGATCAATCTCACAGCTGCTCCCAGTGTTAAGCTCTCTCAAGTCCATGACTCGATTTGATATTTACAATAACCCATTCATGCAAAGGAGGAATCTGAGACGCAGAAACACTAAGAGACTGACTTAAGGTTGCATGGCGAGTGGAAGAGCTGAGCTGGGAGCCAAGTCTTTTGTTCTATCCGGTCGTCCAACCACGGCAGTGTAAAAAATGTATTTGTTAAAAAAAAAAAAGAAAGAAAATTATGCCAAACCCCCTACCTTCAGATCATCTAGGTTTGATGGGAGTGGGCCCGGTTTGAGAGAAGAGACACCAGTTTGTCCAGAAAAACTGTTTTTGGCAGGAGACAAGGGGGTGTTGCTCAGTGGTGTTGAAGAAGAGTTTGGATTCCTGACCATCTGTTCATTTGGTTCTCTGGAAAACAAACAGAAAAGGGGCACTTAAACCACAGTGAGATATACACATGGGGGTGTGATATTGAGGTCTATAATAAAAAACATGCATTCAGTCTTCATCCCGGTTTCTGCTCCTAAAACTCCTGGGATTTCCTGAGTCACGAGAGCATGAAACTCTTTTGTCATCCTAATGAGGTGGCTTTTGGGAGGCACTTAAGGATGGTGGCTGGTGGCCTGGAGAACCAGCCCTGGGATTAGAGGATTGGACCTTTCAGTTCTACCTTGACCTCTGAGGAGGGGAAAGCGCTGGAAGTTGAACTGATTGTCAACGGCTAATGATCGCATGAATCACGCCTATGTAATGAAGCCTCTGTAAAAACCCAAAAGGATGGGGTTTCGAGAGCTTCCAGGTTGGTGAACACATGGCAATTTGGGGACAGCAGTGTACCTGGAGGGGGCGTAGAAGCCCTGCCTGCCTCCTGCATACTTGCCCTAAGCGTCTCTTCCATCAGGCTGTTCCTAGGGCGAGTTATGCCCTTTTTATAGTAAACCAGTCATCTAGTAAATAAAATGTTTCTCTGAGTTCTGTGAACCACTCTAGCAAATTAATCAAACCCAAGGAGGGGGCTGCCAGAACCTCCAACCTACAGTCAGTCGGTCAGAAGCACAGGTGACAACTTGGACTTGTGGCTGGTATCTAAAGGGGGAGGGGGCAGTCTTGTAGGACTCAGTCCTTAACTTGTGGGATCTGACACTACCGCTGGGTAGACAGCTTGAGAACGGAACTGAATCATAGGGTACCCAGCTGGTGTCACCAAGACTTGCTTATTGGTGGGGAAAAACCCAGAGACCAGAACCCTGAGGGGATGACTTGCATTTGGATCAGATCACAAGCTAACTGCCTCGAAAGATCAGGATGTGATAGTAATTAATCAGCAATAATAAGAACAAATGCAATGTAATCCACGTTAACAATAGATCCACAGAAGTGGCAGGGCGGGAGCAGCGCAGGCCAGGTGGCAACTGGCAAGGGACCCTCAAGCTAGTTTGGGGAGACAGGAGGGAGCGGTGGAGACGGAGGCATTTGGGAGAATGCACGCCCATCTGTGATTTTGCACGTGTGCTGTCCTGCAGAGGAAGGAGCAGGCGTGTGAAGCCTGATCGTGTTCAGCACTGGCTGTAACTGCCAGCACGACCCGAGGCTGAACAGAGACAGGGGAGGGGACCCACATCCAACATCATGGTCGAGGAGACAGACCGCTTAAAAGGTGACCTAACTCTGAGGTCACACATGGGGCTCGGGAGTCCAACTTCGAGGCTGTCACTCAGTCACTCACCTCTGTTGCTTCCTAAAGAGTAAACTGGGGAGGCAGCTCATGAAACACAGCAGGTACTGGCTCTCTTGGACGGTTTCTCCTCTGTCCCACCCATGTCTGAATCGGAAAGTGCTACTACTTTTCCCACAGAGCCCTCCTCCTCTCAGGAGCCCTGATTCACTTGCTTCCAACCGGCCACATGTTCCTGAAAAAGTGCACCTGGTTTCTGAACAGTCACACGCCTGCTCCTTCCTCTGCAGGACAGCACCCCTGTGAAGTCACGGATGGACGTGCATTCTCCCACATGCCACAGTCTCCACTGCTCCCTCCTGTCTCCCTGAAACTAGCTTGAGGGATAAACAGACTGGACTAAGGCGTGGTTCAGCGCAGGACTTGCTGGGTCCCGAGGTGGTGCTCAGACAGAGGAGCCGCCCCAGCTTCCGCCTCGGCCGGCGCTCCGGCCTTGCCTGACGTACTTGAGCGGAGCCGGGTGGAGCCCGGGGTGGCTGAAGCGGTGCTGCTGCTGCTGGCTGAGGATCTGGAGCTGCAGGAACAGCTGCTGCTGCTGGAGCAGCCGCGCGTACGCGGAGTCCATGGGCGGAGGGGACCTCTCTGCCTTCTGGTCCGGGGGGATGTACTGGTGATACTTGAGCTTCTTCACCTTCGGCTTGGGGTCCTTGGGCTTTTTATGGCGGTTCTTACTGTCACTCAAGGACTTGGACTGCAAAGAGGAAGAAGAAACAGCATGTGCTTTAGGTGATGGACGGGAGTGGCTTAGTGTCACGGACACACCACGAGGACGTCTTGTCTGAAGGAGTTTCACGAATCCTGGACACACAGTACAGCAAAGGCAGGAGGCACAAAGAGATCCTGGGACATTAAGGCGCCTGGTGAACAAATCCACCGCAAACTCATCACAACAGAAGGACACTCCCAGGCAGGAGACTGTGAGCCTTAGATGTGGCTCTGGGAGATTCTCCTTCCCGGAGTACAGTTGGATGTAAGCCTGTGCTTCACCGAGGACACTTTCTTAACCTAAAACCAACTGCCAGCAGAATGAAGGAGACTTTCTGCTCTTGTGATGGATTCCTAAGAAAGCTCTTCCATCTGTATACATGTAATCACCTTTAATTAAGCCCCTAGTAAGCTGATTTATTAATGACATAAACTCAGACGAAATTAAGCATGTCCTTGAAAATCCAGAATATGGATTTTTGTTGCTTCAAAAGCGAGATCAATTCATCTCCCCATGAAATCCTGATATAAGATCTGGAAGTGATACCCTCTGAACTAAAGATACTTTACTTACTCCAGGAAGGGTCAGCCACCCACTGGGACCTTCCCAGAAGTTATCCATCATGAAGCACGATTTGGAGCCTCGAAAAAAGTAAGGGTACAGGCTCGGAAGTGGAGACACATTTCTGAACGTGGTGCAGTTGTTCAACTTCATGACATCTCAACTACCTCACCTGCAAGTTGGGGGAAATATTCTCCACTTGTTGTCTCAGTCATCAATTGAAGGATGATAAAAGCTACTGTTGAAATAATAACAAATTTCAAATGACATTATGATTATATTTATAACCTGCTCCTAAAATTAAAAGGCTTCTATATATCGGGAAGTAATATGTCCATATTGCAATTAGTTAAAAAACAGACATTTCCAAACTCTGACTTTATTACTGAAGATTGAAAGGAACATACTTATCATGACGTTAGAGTTTTGATCTTAAGGATCTGGAGAAGTTGGAGGGAAGGTGTGGTACCAGCAGTGTCCAGAAGAGGGGGCTCCTGAACAGCTGGCAGCCACGTTGTGATCGGGCAGCTTCCCCACTGTAACCACAAACACACATCTGAACGTGACCTATTTGACTCGCTTTTCTCTGACTCAGCACGTCCCACCAGCGAAGGCTCTTTGGTGTTTCCTCAAGGAGGCTCTTCCTGGAGGCCAATGAACAGGGAGCTCAAGTGTCCCCGTGGGCTTGGTGGCTCTCCTTTCCCCTGCTCATTCACTGACGAGCACTCCAGTTAATTAACTGGCCTTCTGCACTCGGGGGACTTCCTGCAGGAAGCTCTGCTCTGGCTCAGCCTCTGCTCCCACTCATCCTAGGACCTGCCTTCCCTGGGGGAGCGGCAGCCCTGGGTCTAGCAGCCAACTCAGGGGCTGAGGAATTTTCTGTGTGCTGTCTGAACACCAGAACTTCTAGGAGGTACTAAAATTGGACCATTTTCTCAGGATAGTGAGAGGCAAAGGCTGCTGAGCCCACAGATCTCTGAGTCTTTTTGACACCAGAGGAGACAAAAGTTGTGGGTTTGTTTTGGTTTGCTCTCTAGAACATGCCTGGTCAATTGAAGGGAAGCACATGCATCTTTCTAAAGCAGATCTGGATCCCAAATCCAGTGGTTTAAGATCCCGGCATGAAGGTGTGAAGCAAGTTAGTGAGACGCAGGAGGGAACGGTGCAGCCTGCAGCGAGAGGCATGACGTCCTGATTCCGATTTGCTCGCACACTGGGCCAGCCGCACAGCGCGCCACCCAGGCAGCCAGTACACTGTCTGTCCATCCTGCCCTGCAAGCTGAAGTCCAAACTCCAGTCTGCAAGGGAGGCCACCACCAAGCTGCTTAAACATCCGCTCTCCGAGGGCTCAGCCCGCTCCTGCCTCTTTCCCCTGTGTCTCCTGTCATCTGTGACTCCCTCCTCCACTCGCTGTCTGGCTCTGGCTCAGCCTTTGAGGTTGGCTCACCTGGCAGGCCTTTCCTAACTCACAGGGGTGTCTCTTTTGTGCATGTCCCCTGTGGTCCTTGAGGCCACCCCACAGTGGTCGCACCATGGCAGACCCTGCCGAGGGGTTGAGGGAAGCTGACGCCCATCCCCCCTATCCCCCCCCATCCTGCTTCCAAGGCTACTGGCCCTTATGGGGGTGTTGTGGCCACCGGGGGAAAGGGACCTCCTTTTTGTATTTCGGTAAAATACAAGGAACATAAAAATCCCCATAGTAACCATTTCCAAGTCTACAATTCAGTGGTGCTTAGATTTTTCTTCCTTGCTCAAAACACCATATAGACTGATGGTAGCTACAATATCAAACTAGACTGCAGCCTCCTTGAGGGCAGGAGTCGTGTTTTATTCGACTTGGCAAGCACCTCTCAGAGCCTACACTGCAAGCACCTTCCTCTTACCGTTTTGACAGAGTATTCTTAGGCATTCTCTCAACAGCCTCAGATAAATCTTATACAGTCAACAGGGCAGAGACTCTTCCCTAGCTCAGCTGCCTCCTCCTCTGAGAAGTCCACCAGTATCCCCTGGACTTAGAGACGATGAATATTCATCAACTGAGAATTCACAGGCGCTGACCAATCAGAAGGACTGCTGGCTCTCACTTAAACCACCAGTCCAGCTGCATCAGCTGGGTGCCAACCCTGCTCCTCTTTGAAACTGACTGTCCTTCCTCGGGGCAACTCTCACACTCCCTGAATATAGGGCTTTGCTCATTTGCATGAGGCAAAACTTAAATACTTCACCAGAAATATTAATAACATCTCTCTTTGCTCACAACATCAGAAATCACTGAGTTATCCCCTCCTCGCTCCACCGACGATGAACAAAATTCATCAACAGTCACATAATCTCAAAGCTGTTGGGCTGAGTGACTTGTCGGCTGCGTTTAAGCCACTGCAGTTTGGGGACTTTTACTGGGAAAATGAAACTCACCTTTGTGCAGATGCGTTGGAGGAGGCAATGGGGCTGTTCCTTTAACATTGATTCTTACTTAACTTACAGTCTTTTAAAAACATATTTCTTAAGAGCCATCTCAGTATTAAGTGGGAGCCCTAGAGCAGAGAATACATGCCCCAAATCAACGAGCTGTTATTTGGGATAAAATGTCACGAAGTCAAATGATGGCCAGGCAGTCAATTAAGGAGGAAGCGTGAACCACTAGATGCGACACCAAGGACGTTAACCCCGGACGCGCCATCCTGCCTGTAGCTTTGTTGTGGTGGCTGTAACCATGCCCTTCATCTTTCTTTCTACACGGAGACTGGCTTGAATGAGAAAGGTTTGACTTTATGCAAGACCTTTGCGTTTGCTTCCCTTGCATAGAAGCCAGCCTGCCTACACCTGCTTTGCGGCACGTACAAAGCCTGCGTGCCTGCAGCCAGCAAGCTGAGCCCAAGAGCTCTGAGTCAGGGCTGTGCTGGCGGAGCTGTGACCCCAAGGAAGTCCCGGCACAGGAGCTCCTCCTCTGCAGGGGGGACCCCCGTGATGCCGTGCGGACAACAGAGTCCTGGCCCGTAACCAGGGACGGCCCGCATCTCAACTCCTGTCTTGCGATGTTCCTGCAGATACAACTAATCCACACGGCCGTGGGGCTCTTCCGTCGTCAGACCTGACCCAGAACGCCCTGCCCCGCGCTGGCCCTGGGAGCTGGGCGCCCAGACAGGCGCGTGCAGGCTGGCCCTACCTTCACAGCGGCGTGCGCAGGGAGGGGTGGGCTCAGGGGGCCGAGCCCCTGCTTCCCCGTGTCTGACTGGTTGCCGGGCTGTGGGGCCGAGTCATGCCTCTCGTTTTCTGAGCCAGAAGTAAGATCCTAAAAATCAAAATTTTAGCATTATTAGGACACGGGAGTAAAAACTGTGGGACATGGAAATGTTAGAGCAGAGCCCCCCACCCCCCACAGCTCCACTGTGTTCCTCCAGCTTCTTACCCGACCAGTATCAGATCACGTCTCCCAGGGAAAGGGGCCACGTATATAATTTTTCCACCAATGGAGGACACTTTTCAGAGGGAGAAAGCAGGCATTATGAATAATTATTCCAGCAGACAGGTACAGAACCAGCCCTTTCTAGGTGAACCAGGACATCTGGTCACCTGCAGGAGGGGTTCCCTCCATCTGAAGCCAGGCCTACCTGCTGGACAGTGAGATTGAAAAAGAAAGGAGGAGGGAGGAGAGGGTGGGGACCCTGGGGGAAAGCAGGACAACAAAAAAGTTAGATACAAGGGGGGTTAGCAGATGGAGGGGATGTGTGTGCTGATGTGTGTCCCTGTGAATACGAGTGGACGTCTCTGTGCGTCTGTGTGTGTGTGTGTGTAGTGCACATGCGCATATATGTACGTGCATCTCTCTGTGTGTGTACTGTGTGTATGTGTGGGTCTGTGGCCTATGTCTGCGTGTGTATGTCTGTGTATATACGTGTGCATGTGTGTATATGTAAGTCTGTGTGTGTGTGCAGCCTCAGGGGAAACCTCTATAAGAGCATGTTTCCATGTGCAGAGGACTCTGTAAAGGATCGACCACCTGCTCTGTGTCCTACATCCCTGTGCTGTGACTCTGAAGAAAGGGGCGGGGCTGCTCACGATCTCCCCCTGAGCTGCTCGTCCTTCCCGGAGCCCTGGCACCTGTCACGGGTCTGCAGGGTCCTTTTCTCGCGGAGCCTCAGCGTCCTCACCTGTCACATAGGCTTGCCGGGTGAACCGACATACAACGACCCTGGCGTGCGGCCTGGTGCTGCTCAGCGCCCGTTGCCTTCTTCCCTGCTCCGAGGGTTAAGGAGAGAAGGACGTGTCTTCTCCCCAAGCCATCTTTAAATTCGGAGCTGAGGAATTTACTGTCAGAGTAATAAGGCACAAATGGTCTGATGTACTGTTTGATGTTATCAAAGAAGCTGGGCTGCCAAGACCAGCTGCGGCATGCCGGGGAAGGAAAAATGCTTTGATTATGAACTCTTGCACAATAAACAGACGACTGCTTCGGCTCTGCTTTCTCTGTCTCCCGTCTGCCTCCCTCCCGCCCCACATTTCATCCTCGGCAGCCTTGGGTTTGCCCCAGTGGAGGGAAGAAGGGCCTGACAATGACCCGTAACAGCACGGCTTCAGGAAACAGGGTAATGGTAAATAATTCTCAAAACTGTCCCTGATCCCTGTGCACTTTACACGGTAAAAATGTTTTCAAATATAACATCTGATGGGTGTTAAATAGTACAAATGTCCAGCGATAAAATAAGTAAGGCCTGGGGGTGCTGTGTAGAGCATGGTGACCAGGGTTACCGATACTGCGTTACCGATCTGAAAGTTCCTGAAAGAGTAGATCTCAAAGGCTCTCATCATAAGAAAACAAATTTGTAGCTGTGTGGTGACAGATGTTAACTAGACTTATCGTGGTGAGCATTTCACAATATATACAACCATATGCAATGACTGTAATAGATGCAAGGTTTAATGGTGTATGTACACAATAGATACAATATGTAATTGTGTATTTATATAATATATTCAGTGTATCATCATATACATTGTGCAATGATCACCACAGTGAGTCTAGTTAACATCTGTCACCATACAGCTACAATTTTTTTTGCATCTATATATGCAACATGTGACAGACACAGTGTATACAGCAGACAGAATATCAAACAATGATGTTGTACACCTGATATTGTAACGGTTGTATACCTCGTGTATTTCACAGTACGTACAACTGAACAGTTGTATTGTATGCCTGCAACTAACATAATGTTATGTCAATTATTCCTCAATTAAAAAAGTAAAACATATATGAAGATATTTAATATCTACATATAATAAAAAATATTATACTAGCAAACAATATAAAATATATATAAAATATCTGATTTCAGTTCATCAAATGATTCCTCGGAGGCCAAGAGGAGTAGACTCTTCCTGAAGGGAAGGGGCTGAAGGCTGGAGGGGTCTCTCCAGAGCCGGACGTGGTGAAAGGTTGACGCTTCACTGCCAACGAGTGCGACCCTCTCCCCACCATGTGTAGACGCCCACACTCATCTTCTCCTGGGGCCCTGGGAAGACCACCCTGCCAGGCTGAGAGGGGCTCCCATGAAGACTGGGTGTGGCTTCCAAGGGGGTGCTCTGGGGTGGGGGGGGATCTGCGGTGCTCCTGGGACCACACAGCTACTCAGCCTCATGGGGTCTTGGCTGCTTCTCCGTAACATCTAAGAGAAAATGCCTGGAAGGTGCCTAGCCCTGGCCCTGGTAGAGTGAACGCTTCATCGTGGCAGTAGCTATGGTTAACCATCACCACTGCTCCTTATAAATGTGCTTTCAACAGTATTTGCCATACACATTCCTCATGTCTCAACAGTTCATGAGTTTGTCCAGAAAGAGGGGAGTGCTGTGCGTGGGTCGGGGCTGGACGAGGCCCCTGCAGTGGTTCGGCAGCTAGAAGCCAGTGACAGAACCAACCCAGGGCTCCTGCTGTGCAGCCAGTCAGCGCCTCGTGCTCCCCACGCCCCGGGATCCTACAGTGATGACTCAGTGCCTGGAAAGACTGCAGGCTTTGAAACCAGTCCTGCTCTGGCCTTTTCTCTTCAGGAGACTGCCGGCTGGTCATCTAATCTTGGGGAGCCTCATGTCTACCTTGTCAGTAAAAATGGAGATAAAAGGGATCTGCATGGCAGACTGGATGCTGAAAACCTAAGGCCAAGGGCGTATTCCTGGGGACTCTCTTCCGGTGCTCTCTGGGGGCCTTCGGCCCTGAGCACAGAACCCTGGGCTGAGTAGGCTGAGAGGAGAGACATCTCTGGGGTCTCCAAGCAAAATCAGCTGTGGCCACGCTGATGTCAACGAGAGAGGTGACAGGCAGAGACGTGGTTTGTTTACCTGGATTGTGCCCAGAGGACCTGCCAAAGGGGTCTCCACAGCTTTCGTGTCCGGAGGGGAGCCTGCTGAGCCCTGGAGGTCTTCACTTCGCGTCTGATCGGGGGAGAGGCCGTCGCTGCTGCTGTCCTCCTCAAAGGCAAACGCGTCTGCCGACTTGGAGAAGCTCACCTGGCTGCCTGTGGAGTGAAACCCAAGCACTGGGTCAGTGGCCGAGGCGCATCTTTCTGGAAATGCTTCAAGTGTCATCCTGTTAGGAGCACTTGTCTGCCTCCTTGGATGTTTTCAATTCAAGGTAAGAGTGAAGATGCACTTAAAATTACTTGGTTTCTCGTAGATTTACTCCATATAAGGGAAAGAAGACTGAGTAACATATTAAAGGTCCGTCCTCATTTGTTAAATTTTATTTTCAGGTTGATGGATGCCTGCACATTTAGTATGTGGACCCCTATCTTTCTGAAATGAACTCAGAGAAGACGAAGGAAAGAAAAGGGGTCATCAGATGAGGGAAGAGAAGAACCCTGTCTCCTTTGGGCTTTATGGCAGGAGGGGCAGCTGAGGTGACAGCGTGCCGTTCGCATCACGTTCAGGTACCGAGCAGGGCGCCCAGCGTAAAATGTTTCGCAAACTTTGCTCTTACGGATAAGCCAGGAGAGTGACTGAGTTTAAATGCCAATGTCAGAATAGCTAAGGTCACTAGAGTGTCCCAAAGCCCCACTCAGCTAAGGCGTATCTGTTTATAAAAGCCATAAATGTGCCTCAGAAAATGAAGCGTGATCATTGCTTTTTTATTATTTGGATTTTGCTGTTATTCCTCCCATCTCTGTGTCTCTGCTGGAGACCCCCAGCGACGCACACGTGGTCCAGCTCTCCCTCGGTGGCCCACATGGTCTCCGGGGGGAAACTGGGACATCGGCTTGGGGACAGGGTTATCCGACCAGGTGGGGCCCCCACCACAGCCTTCTACGTCCCCTGTTTTTTTAATCACCAAATTCCTTCTGGGTTCTCATCCAGCTGCACAGTACACGATGTACTGAGGCCACACAGCTCTCCTGACCCTATTCCAGGCACAGCTCTTGTAAAGGAATTTAGGTGCTATCAGCGAGTTTTCCAGCCCGGGGCTCTGCAATTGCCCTGACAAGAAGGTCTGACTTGGGCTCTGCGCAGATAAGAGAGAGGCGCTCTCACCGTGGGGACGGGAACAGGCAATGAGGAGCTGGAAGTAATGGAACAAACGTGGCTTGCGGCTTGTCATCGCCACCGCCGCTGGCATCTGTCACAGACCCTCACTCAGACACGCAAGTGTCAGGTCAGGAGAGAGGCCGGACAAGGACAGGGCAGGTGGGAACTTGCGTCGCTGGCCCCCTGGGCAGCCCGCTGACCTGCAAAGGCTTGGGAACCAGCACTGCTGGCCCACGGCTTCAGGAGTGTTTATTAAAGTCACGATGTCTTTTCTATGATTATAAAAGTAATACCTACTTGTAAGAATTCACACCACGTGCGGTGTCCGTGACAAGGCATGCAGTCACCCCACGTCCATGCGTGGCTGATTTCCTCCTCTAGATTTAATTCTGTATGTACAGCAAGATCCACACATGCTTAAAAAGCATTTCACACAGGCCTGGGTGAAATCTACGGCTCTGAAACTTGCTTTTTTTCACTCAACAGTGTTTCTTGGAGAGCTTCACATGTGAGCACACAGAGATCCTCCTCAATCTTTCAGTAACAGCTACACAGTATTCCACTGTATTAATGGGAACTTTTGGTTTTCAACTTTACTTTTCCAAGGGGCCCTTATTTTTAACTCTACGGATTTTGAAATCATAGAAAAGTACAGAGAATAATATAAAACATCAGTTTACGTATCACCTGAAATGAATATATGCCAACATTTCCTTGTATCTGCATCAGAAACCTATTTGTTTTCTAACAGAGGGGTTTCACTAGGTATTTGACAAATGTCAGCTTTCTCTCTGAGATCAGTGGTCACCCTTTCCTCCCGTCCGGTCTCAGATACCACCCCCTCTCTATTTTTAGAATCCAGAGTTAGCTCACACCTTCCCTTCCTCTCTTACAGCAAACCCTGGGCTCTGCACATAAGCCTTTATTTGTCATTTTCATGCAACATGAAAGAAATTATATACCCTGTCCCCTGTCCCCAGGGGATCATGTGCCTGAGATCTTTCTGGGAAGTTCCTTCTAGGTTCCACCATGAATATGCCTCCATCGTAAACTCAACTCATTAACTTCTCTGCTTTAGGAACTACATTTTCATTGAAATTTCGAGTCCTACTTCCATTTGTGGAATTAAAGGCTTTGTGCCTGATTAAAAGACGGTGTGTATTATTCAGGACAAGGGGGGCTGGGCACTGGGGGCGCAGGGGGGTTAAGCCTTCCCCACCCCAGACACCATGCACTTTGTTGGGATTTACCTGGCAGAGACTCTGAGGCACCACCACCCGGGGGCTCGGAGAGCCCTACCTGTGACCGAGCTCGTCCCCGGGGGCAGCCAGCCTTCTCTGCCCCACAGGACCCTCCCGCGAGAGCGTCACCATCTTCTGATTCCCTCCCCGCTCCCTGCAGTCTGAACAGCTCTGGGCCTCCTCCGTGCGATCTGACACATCATGTGACGAAGAACATACTCCACCCCCTGCCCCCTGCCACCTCCACCCACACAGGGTATCACATCCCAAGTGTGTACAAACGAGAGGGAACTGACCCAGCTGCAAGGCTGTCTGAGTGTTCTGTCACGCAGGCAGAAACGTGACAGGAAGGGCGGGGTGGGAGGGAGAATGGATTCTCTCATCCCCCCGGCCACCCCACTGCAACGGTTTCCAGCAGGGATGGCGAACAGCACAGACAGTCGTTTGCACCAGCAGTTCACTTAGTCGTGGTGGCGATAACACAAATGATCACTGTGTCAGGCCTCATAACGACCTACAAATCTGACTGCCCCGTTCTCGCGCCTCTGCTGCCGATAGGGCATCACAAGGTCCAGGCTCCCCAGTTCTATAGAGATGGAGCCAAGACTACAGGTCCAGCCTTTGGATGCTGAGAACCACCGGCAGAGGAGGAGGCAAAATCAAGTTCCCTCCCGGGAGGTCATCAGATGACGCGTTGTTTAGGGAACATTGTCAGACCTGCTGGGGGGTGGGGGTGGAGGCGGGTAGCAGAGAAACTGGGCAACGTCCCCCCCTTTTCTGCACACATGTACTCAGGACAGCTCCATCCTGCACATCTTTTACTTGAGCTTCTGAGATTTGATGGGCCGAGTGTGTCATCTTGATGGTGAGAACAAAGGAGGCAGGAAGTCACCGCGGTCTCATCTGCATTGTCTCAGAAAAGCGTGGGGAGGATGGTGAAGCCTTACTGCTGTGGCCGTAAACTGCCACGCCCTTTTCACTTTGACACCTGGCATTTGGTCACCTCAGATCGAGGCACTGGAATTTATGGAAAAGCCTAGAAGCAGCGTGTCTGGAATAAAGGAGTCGGTCACCAGTCCCATTCTCCCCAGTCCTGGATGGAACATTCCTCACCCCTTTGCTCACTTCCAGCCTTCCCCAGTTTGAGTGAGGTAGGGAGGAGCAGAAGCGTAACCAGGCGCAAGGCGGGGAAGACACGGAAACCACGGGAAGAGGGGCGCGGTCTGTCTGCAAGGGGCAGAGTGCGAGAGCCTGGCAGGGACTGGGCTGCAGGGTGAGCCCCGTCGGGGGTCAGACGAAGGAGGCGGTGACGTGGAGCCGTCCAGGCAGACTCAGTCCTGGAGGAGGCAGGATGGAGCTGAGCCTGAAAGGCCGGTCAATGGTGGACAGGAGACAGGAGGATGGGGGGCCTTGGCAGCAGGTCGTGGGTAGAGGGAAGTCACAGAAGGTGATCAGCAGAGCTGGGGTGGGAGGGGCGGAGAAGAAGCTCTCCCGGCCAGGGGACAGGACTATTTCAGGAGCCAGTCCTGGAGAGACAGCTTCTAGGAGTCGACTTTATCAAGTGACACCAAGCATTGAAAGAGGCCCCTCTGCTTAAGTCCATGAAGAAGCCACGAGTACATACAACTGTGCAGATAGAAGTCCGAGCACATGTAACCACGTGCACGACGAAGCCGTGAGTACATACAACCACACACAGGGGGCTGTTCACACCTGAAGGAACAAACACAGTGATGGCTAAAGCCCCAAATAAATGACTCCTGTCCGGTATCCAGTAAGCATGTTGCACCAGGCCAGAGTAACCGACAGACACACGGAGGACCACGCAGAAGCTGTCCAGGCCCAGGGAGCCTGCGCGGGGGCCCTGCCAGTCACTCACCACTCCCTCTGCCCCACAAGGAGTTTGGATCTGTGTCTACGAGGGCGGAGGGTGAGGGAAGCTCAGCCCCTGCTCACAAGACCAGTAACACGTGTGGCCAGTGGGTTCTTGCCGAGATGCTGTGTTCAGCGCGGTCAGTAAGAAATCGGACAGACTTGGTTTGTTCCTTGGTTCTACCCCTTTGGCGGCAGAGTGACTGCTGGCAAGTTATTCCGCTTCTTGGAGCCCATTCCCATCTATAAAACGGAAGTAACGCTCGCAGTTACGGCTCCGGGGTTGGAGGGTTAAACCCACGCTGCTAGCACAGGCCCCGCTGCAGACGCTCGGTCACCTCCGGCCGCTGCTGTGGTTCTGTTGTTCTGTCAGGAGTGTCTGCTTGTCTCAAGCTCACCATGATCAAGAATTTAAAAAGGCCACCTGGGAGGCGGCTTACCCTGTGGCCAGCTCTGCGACGGTCAGTGCAATTCCTGAGCTGGGAAGACGGGTCCGTCCTGAGAGGTTCACTCTGGGAAAGCAAAGCCTGACTCCCCCAGAGCAGGAGTGCTGTCGCAGGAGGGCTGCGTGTCCGCCCTCTCCGGCCCGGTTCAGGCCGGCTCCGCGGAGTGGAGGGGGACAAAGGTCATCTTATCTGGCTGCATCCGGAACAACCGAAGTCTATCAGCTCCCGGCGCTGTGACCGGGGCCTCCGCTCCAATCTCGTGGGGCGCGGGCCTCCCGGGAGCTGTCGGAGTGCAGGCCGCTGGCTATTGTCCCCGTAGACACGGCGGGCGGTGTGATGACAAGGACCTGCTTCGGGAAGCCCTGACATCACCCCCCGGCTATGCCCGCGGGCTGTCTCTGGGCACTGGCCCCTGGGAGCTGGGCCTGGTGACCCCGGGCTTGTGCCCTCCCTCTGGGGAGTGATTAGCTGAATGAGTCAGTTGGACTGTCCTCTGCAAACACACGTAAAATTCCAAGACTGAAGTGAGATCACTGAGGTCCTAGCTACCTTCCTGCTATGACCCCACACCAGGGGCTGGAAGCCACCAAGTGGAATGTGAAAATGACCCTCACTTGCTTATTTATTTGCAAGCTGGAGCAGCCCAAGCCTGGTGGCTACTTTAGTTCACGGTCAGACCACCTTCTGACATCCTCCTGGAAGAGACTGAAGCAAGATCCATTTCCTAAGGGAGGAGGTGGCCATGTAAAGGAGCTCTAGTTGAAATGTGGCTCTTGCCTGAAGAGACTGCAATATACCAGAGATACCACAGTCTGTAGAAGACGGATTATTTTGTCCAACAGAGACCAAGCCCACTGCTCTGGAAGGGGGTCATATACCTTTATGATGGAAATAGATGTCAGTGGAATTTCGGAGGAACAAGGATTCCTTTTCCTCAGATCCCTGGCACCTTAGAAATTTCACATCTCTAGATGTACCCTTATTACGGCATTGGGAGGTGAGCTGGGAGACTCAGCTCAGCACATAAATACCCGTCCTGCATCAGCTCTCGAGGCTCATCTTCCAGGGACAAAGAAGATCACCAGGTGCGTAAAGACAGCTTAGCACTGTCTCCCTCAGGGCTGCCTAACTTTCCTCCTTGGCACTCCCATGGCCCCCTGCAGTCGGAAAAGTGAGGAAAGCCAGCTGGGGTTCTCATTTACTCAAGCAGAAGCCAGGCTCTGGACAATAAACAGCTTCCTTCTTTCTTGGTAGCTAAGGGATGTTCTTGACAAGTGAAGGGGACACTCGCATGACCAGAGAGAGAACTCACAAGCTCGGGGCAGGGCTCTCAAAACTGAGGGCCACGAAGGGACAGCGCCCCATGCACAAGAAGGGCAGAGCCATGCTCAGCTCCAGTGTGTACTTTCTGTTCTCACAAACCATCACTCCCACGGGATGTCACATTTGTTATATTCAGTGTTCTGGCCTGAGAGAACATGGCTGGTAGTGGTTTTCTAAGCAGGAGAAACGGGGAGACAGGTGCATGCTCTGAGATGTGGCCACAGTGCCCCCCGCCTCCTCCTCAGAAGGTCAGGTCAGAAGGCCTCCTCTTGCCCCACATCGGCTCACCCTAGTCATACAAGTCCACGTTTCCTCCAGCTGCGATCGGTAATACTCCACCTGAGTCAGGAACTGAACTTGCAGGCTGGGAGAGGGATTGCTCGCTGGCACTGTAAAGGAGAGGACACTCTGGGGGAAAAGATTTGCTACAGTCATTCAGCTGAGGGCAAGAGAAGGGACGTCTGGGGATGAGGAGAAAAATGCCAGTGTGGGGCTGGTTCTCTGCCGACAGCATCCTTCCCCGTGCTGGGAGAGGGTCTAGATTATTTCACCCTAGGGTTGGAGAAGTGCTGGTCTTTAATCAGATCTGCAGGGAGGAAGACAATGAGCATCTTGCTCCGAGCTTGGCAGAAACATAGAAACACAACTGCAGAGAGAGCCACAAAAGGTAAACACATCTGGAAAGGCCCGTGGACAGAGCAGGGAAGCACACAGAGGCCAAGGGAGTGATACACAGCAGAGCACAGCCCTGAGTCACCACTTCTCAGAGTGGGGGACGGTCTGATCACAAGTGATAGATGGGGGGGGGGTTGGAAAAACTGCAAACTGAGAAACTATTGGAACTATTAAGAAAAATCTTCAAAGATGTCCAGTTACAAAACAAATGTGCAAAACTAACCAGTTTCCTACATGTCAGCAATAACTAATGTGAATTTACTTAAAAAAAATTACCAAGGGAAATAAGAGACTCGTGTAGGTGAAGAGATACTGTATTTCTACCTCAGAAGAATGAATATATTTTATGCATATAAATTCATCATAAATTAACCTATAAATTCACTACAATCATTTTCTGCAATCCCAAACAAAATTCTAACAGTATTGAAGTTGGTAACAATAAAAAGATTCTAAATTTCACCCACCATTTACTTGTGAGAATAATGAAAAAACACTAGAAAAATCAGAGCAATGTAAAGAGACTTGTGAAGACAGATATTAAGACAAGTTGTAAAGTACATCAATAAAATTGTAGAAAAAATAAAATGAGACCTTTCTCTTCAACTCAAATAATTCCACACTTACTAAGAATTGAAATACAAGAATGATGCATATACATGTTCAAACACGTAAGGTGAATAATTATTCTTGAGGTGGGAAATGTTTTCAATAAATGATAACAAGTTCAGAAACCACAAAGAAAAAGATTAATAAATTGAACTACATAGAAATTTAACAGTGCTACAGGTGAAACACACTACCCACAAACCCAAAAGGCACAGGACATGTTGGTAAAAGGATGTGCAACACTTGTGACAGATGGAGGACTAGCCTTTTTCCCCCTATATAAATAGCTTTTACAAGGCAGTTAGGAGGGAAAATGCCCCATAGAAAAGAGGAATGGCCACCAATTGCCAATGACACAAAATCCACATTGAAAAATATAATCTCACCATAAGAATGCAAATTAAACAAGATCGTTTGCCTATCATATGAAAACCAAAAATAAATTTGCATGCATGGAAGAGAATGTGTTAAGAAGTGATAAGAGATACCTGACAGAGACAGTTCTATCCTAGATCTTAGAGTAGAGATGCGGACAGCGCACTGTTGAGGGGGTGAGCCCAAGTTCAAAGGCACAGGATAGTCAGTGTGGAGGGAGGGAGTGAAGGAGAGGGAATACCACCCTGGGATGTTCAGTGGGTGCTGATGAGGGCACTGCATCTCCTAGAGCCAATATTTTCACGTTTATAAGTCCCAGGTACAAAATTCACGCAGCCTCTGACAGGCTGGGTGTGGGCAAGATTTTACAACGTGGGTAAGTTTAATCATGAACCTAGCGTTTCATAAAACATCTTTAGCTGTCGTTTTTGACAATGTACCAAAAACACTTAAATGTGCTTTACTCATTATGTAGCAATAATTCTTAGAGCTTTTGTAGGCGGAATGGGAAGAGCACAAGTTTGCCAGCAGGAATGACAGGCCTTCCTTTCCTCCGTCTACCACAGTCTTCCCAGGCTCCACCTCGGTGGACGCCTCTATGGACGAATTCAGCATCCTCAGGCTGCTGGGATCCACGTCGTCTAAACTGTGCAAAAGGTCTACAACATGATTTTACACAGCTGATGACAGAGTGAACGTTTGTGTCTCCTCCTTAAGTATTTGCACTGCAACCCTGCAGCACGCAGGCCTGTTGTCAAAGGGTTTTCACACGCTTACACAACTGGATCTCACTCCCCAGAGCCTGTGGGTTGCACCAGGTGGGTATTATCTCCCTCCTGGAGAAGTGAAAGGACTTGGGGAGGCCCCAGCCGAGCACCTCAACTGGGCTTAGAGTTCAGGTCTTCCCATTCTGGTCCAGCAGTTTTTCCACTGTACCCATCTACTTCCCTTTAGAAGAGGAAGATCAAAGAGGCCATGGCTCTGAAGCGATGGAACCCTGTAGGGGAGATGTTCTGAGGTTCACATCAAGTCAGGTTCCCACCCTGCTCGACCAGAACCAAACTGGCCCAGGCCAACCTGACCCTGGAGGCTGGATGGATGGAGTTTCTTCCTCACTCGCAAGACATCTGCTTATGGGGAACCTTCTGGAACAGTGACCCACGGATTGACTCTTGTCTTGTGAGAAGCCCTCGCCCCCAGGGCCCTAGCCCCTCAGAGCCGTGGCTGCCCGCAGATCCCAGCACAAAGGGACGCATGCCATTTGTGTGAATACCTTTTATAGCCTCTTTCACAGCAGAATCGACGGGGAGTATGTTCTTCTCCACCAGCTCCAGCGGCCCCGGCCGGAGAGCGATTTTTTCATTGAGATCATCAGCAAGTCGGGCTCTTTTCAGTTTCATCTGAGCAGTTGGAACGGATCTCTCTGCAGTGGACGCTAAGGGGTTGAAATCAGAAGGGTCAGCTCTAGAAGTTGATGTCATTTCTGTTTGTTTTTTTTTTTTTGGTTTTGTAACCAAAACACTGTGACCCATTGTGCTCCACCATCCTGATAATTTTTCAATGCCATCATCTTCATTTCACATGGATTAGCAGCAAAGACCAGGCACTTCCAAATAAAGGCAAACGGAGATGCACAAAAGAGTTAGAGAAACTTGCTTTACAAGGATTTTGGGGAAACAAATGTGCAATTTGGTGATTCTGTAAGTAAGTGGTCCACAGGACCCATGATGCTTACTGACCCTGAGCTGTGGCATTTGGGTGCACATCCTGTCTGTGTGCCGCTTAGCCCAGGCTGAGCCTGCAGTAAATATTATCTGTTATTACAATTAATTGCATTAGCGTGACTTCTTAAGAGTTTTAGACTTGTTCAGGTTGTTGATACTAATGTCCAGGTTAGTTATAAAAGAAAAAAACAATTTTGGGGGAAACGGTTATTTAATTACACAGGGATTTTAAAAACTGAATTTATCCAACAGGCAGCTCCTCATCATTTGGAGAGTGGAAAAGGTCACTAATAAGCCCTGAACTGTCCCTCCCCTCCTCTTCGGGTGAGACCCTGACTTACTTCTGCACAAGGACTGAGAGGAGGATGTGGGGAACCAGTTGCTGCTAAGATGCAGAACCACAAGTGAGGATTCCGCAGGAGTCTGTAGCATCGCTCTCAACTTTGTGAATTTAGGTGAGACATTTACAGACCTCCTAGCCCAATCGTTCTATTCTTATCAACCTGCTAACCCAGGCTTAGCACCTAGAAATACCCGCACAGGAGAGGTCTAGGGAAGTCTAATTTTTTGCAACAGGTTAGACTTGTGTAGAAGCTGCATCTGTAAAGCACTCAGTGTGAGATGGAGAAAATGTGTGTCCCAAACCAAAGGACGGGAGTGCCCAAGCCCACGGCCTCTCCCGATCGCCCCTCAGGCCAGTGCAAGGGCGCCCCCTGCACTCCCCGCCTCAGGGAGCTTTCTCATCTGTCCTGCTCACCAGCACAGGACTCAGCTTCAGAAGACGCTCCTTTCTTGTGCCCCTTGACAGTTGTCCCCCTCTGTCATTAGTCTGGTTTTGCAAGCTCCTCACAAACTGAATCCACGCCCTTCATGACCTCACCACTCCAGGGAGCCTGGCCTTCTTCCTCCTGCCCCACGTCTTACTGAGTTCACCTGTGTACCTCGGCTTACTGTGCTTCTCCAGCCTAATAAAGTCTTCCTAACGCCGGTCCCCATAGACTCCCCCTGCTCTGACTACTGCTAGTAGGTACAAGCCCTGGCTCTTCATCTATATTGCTGCCTCCAAAATTAGACAATTTGCACCCAGTATAGGAGCACCTAAATACATAAACCAAATGCCAACAGACACAAAGGGAGAAGTTGACGGGAATACAGTAATAGTGGGAGACTTTAAGACCCCACTAATATCAATGGACAGACCTTTCAGACAGAAAATCAATAAGGCAACAGAGATCCCAAATGTCACAATGGAACAGTTAGACTTAATTGACATTTTCAGGACATTACATCCAAAAGAACCCCAGAATATACTTTGTTTTTCAAGTGTACATGGAAGATTCCCGAGGATAGATCACATACTCAGACACAAAGCAAGCCTCAACAAATTTAAGAGGATAGAAATTATTTCAAGCATCTTTCTGACCACAACAGCATGAAACAAGAAATCAACCACAGAAATAGAAATGAGAGAAAAAAATGATTGCATGGAACCTAAATATGCTGCTAAAAAACCAACAGGTCAAACATGAAACCAAAGAGGAAATTAAAAAAATACCTTGAGACAAATAACAATGAAAACACAGCCACACAAAATCTACGGGATGCAGCAAAAGCGGTCCTGAGAGGGATGTTCATAGTGATACAGGCCTTCCTCAAAAAATAGTAAAAATCTCAAGTAAACAACCTAATCAAAATTAGATGATGAAAATCTGGAAGGTAGGGCTCACTGTGAGCCCAGGAGATCCTTAGTGTTCTAGAGGACTCATGCCGATTTCTGCTGGGGAGAAGAGAGGCCTGCACAGGGACAGCCGGAGACTGAACTGGGGGCTGCTGCGGTTCACAGCCCGATATTTTAATTTGAGACTGCAATGATATGACAGATAACATTTCTTATGCTTTTTTTTGGATTATAGGATTACTACATACTCATTGCTGTAAGTGTGAAAAAGCTATAAAAAAAAGTATAAAAAAGAAAATGAAAGCATTGGGAAACTCCCTAGTTAGAGCCAACTGTTTATAACAGTTTGGCATCTTTCTTAATTACTTGTACAATATTCATTATTAGGTCTATATTTTTTCATCACAGAATCTGACTGTAAATAAAGTTTACGTATACACTTTTTCTTTCTTGAATTTGACTGTAAGTATGGTTTTTACACATCTTGCCTTCTCGTGAAACATCATTTTGTAAGCTTGTTCTCATTAAATCACAATTCTTTTAAAGCCTTATTTGTACCGGCTGCGAAGTATTCAGTCACATGGATGGTGCATAATTCATTCGGCCAGTCCCCGGTTGTTGGACATTCCACTGATTTCAATGTTTCACTATCTAAGGAGATTACATGATAAACATCATTGTACATAAGTCTTTGTATGTCTGATTTTTTTTGATAAGATACTAGAAATTTATTACTGACATAAAGGATGGACATTTTGAAGGAGTGCGATATATGCTGGACATTCCGTATACGCTCAGAGAAAGCTGGGAAGCGGCACAGCTCAAACTGGATGCCAGGTCTGGTACTTTCTTAGCCATTTCCTAGCTTCCCAACTGGACCATCCCCATGGCCTCGGATGACTAGATGACAGCTCAGAGCCACCACTCTGTAATGACAGGGGCCTCCTTTAAGAGTACCTAGCAACTGCTCAAAGACCAAGAACACTGGAAAATGGCCTATTTCCCATTTCCACCGACCGGCATCAGATTCTGATTTCGGGCAGCCTTACCCTGGAGTATGTGCATTTTAACCACGTCTGCACGGTCGGACCTGTTTCTGACCTTACGCTTCAGGGTGTCTTCAGCCTGTAGAACACAAACACAGAATAAATTCTGCTATCAATCTCATTATACTTGAATTCTCTAGTTTTAACTTTAAAGGAAACCTTATTTCTCTCAAAGGGGAAGAGTGTTTTATGACAAATCAAACATGCAAATATCTCTGCTAGCCTACGTTTTGATGAAGGGGGACTCACAAAAACCTCTCTAGGAATTTTGGGATGGAAAAATAAGATAAAGAGGTAAAAAGCTCAGGTCCACATCAGACCTCCAAACTTAAAGGCCAGGCAGGTAACTCTTTGTAAAATATTAATAAAACAGGTGATACAAGCTGCTTGCATTATAGTCAATCCTATTCCATTGTCCCTTAGGACAGCCACAAATTAACTAGAGTCAGAGATGAGACGTAACCTAAATCCATCCAGTATAACGTGATAATATATGCCCTCTGCCTGCTTTTCCCTTGATTTTTCTCTTAGGACGTGTGAAAATAAAAATCCAGAGTCATAGACATCTGGTCCTTTCTCTCCCTGCTCACTAGCTGCCAGGCTAGAACTCTGGCAGAGAGACCCCAGGAGAAGGACACCTCCTGCCTTCCCTTCTCACGCACAGCGCCGATGCTTGCTAAGTAGGACTTACGAAATCGATCAATTCAGGTTGCAGGGACTTGCTATGAAGGTACAGAATATTTATGCCAATTTCCCCCCTCAAAGGCTAAAAGAGAAATGAATATGATTCCTCTTGCCTTTAAATAGCAGCAAGTAAGTTTCACAACCACAGGCCCTACCCTACCACTGAAATGGATTGAAAATGATCTGATTTGTTGCTGAGAAAAGACTGTCATGAAAGACAAGGCAGCTGTCAACCAACCTCACCTCCCTCGTTTCATGCCTCTTTGACCCCATTCTTACAGTGATTTGTGATTTCCCCCCTGACAATCAGAAAGACTGGGGACTTTTTTTTTTTAAACTTACAAATAGCAGTTTCAAAGCTAACAGAATTGATCTCATTTGCACAGTTTTCAGTTCACAGGAGTAAGAATCCATGTGGTGTGGGGGCAGGGATCTGGCCAATTGGTTGAGTTTGGAAGAGAAATTCTACCTGCTTTCACCCAAGCTTAAGCAGCTGGAGATCCCTAGCCTGGAGTCTAAGTTCAGGATGAGGGCAGTTTGCAGGGCGTTACCTTGTCACTATCCAAACGTTTTCTTTGCTCATGGAATTCAGGTGGGCTTTTCAGGGCTGAAACGGAAAGATACAGACATGAGCAGAGGGGGCCTGGGGCACGGAGCAGCACCATGGTGTTGGCCTGTGTGCTTGCAGAGCGGTGCACAGTACAGATGTGATCGCCTTCATCAGGCCACAAGCAATGGGAGAGGGAAGGCCCGGAGGACACCACAGGAGACAGAGGAAGGTGGTCGTGAAGCCTGAAATAGGAGGCGCATCAGAGGCAGAATACGCGACAGGGAGAGAGGTGGCAGAGACAGGGCATTCCAAGATCTGGAGGAGGTACAGGCCGGGGGCAGGGGGCCGAGGCAAGTCTCTAGTTTTAGGGAGAGGGGAGAATGGGGTGCCTGACGCCCCTTTTGGCTTTGCTCTGTCCTTGGGTGCAAAGGATTGGGTGGAAGGCTGTGGTCCGTGTCCCATATGCAGGAGGGAGCTTGTATTTTGGATCAGGTAGGTGGCTGGTCGGTCAGAACATGCAGCAAGAGTGTTGAGTGATTAGCACAGAATCAGACTTTGAGGGTTGGATGAGACCTTGGAGAGGGTGGACGCCAGCTCCAATCCTGAGCAGAAGGGGAAAACTGAGACCCACAGAATGGGGCTGACTTGCCCAGGGTCACATAGGTAGGGCTAGGAGCCTAGGGCCTCTGACAACCTAACTTCTTTCAAAGTGTGACGTTCAAAATACGAACAACCGGCAGACACCGGCACTGATCAGTCACGGCCACAGCCACCGTGCACACCCTGGACTGCATGTCAGCCTCCCTTCTCTCCACGATGCTCTGCTCCTCCTCTTCCTGTCTCAGCAACCACTCACGATGACACAGTCAACTTGTGCCTTAGCAGAGCGGTAGAATGTCATCCTGTACAAGTCCACTTTTTTGTTGGTTTTTCTGATCCCCTGGGACAATCACAACCCGGAACCATCAACAATCACTTTTCTTTAGAAGTGATGAGGTTGATCAGAGGTGACAGAATCACATCGAATACTTTTCCGGACTGTAGGTCTGGACAAGCTGGTGAATCACGTGATCCAGAATTATAATATTACTGTAACAGATATCTACTCTCAAGCGGCAGGCAAGGAAATAGTCTTCCAAATTTTGGCTGGTAGAAAAAAAACAAACAAAAACTGGGTTTCTAGCCAGACAGGCACTTGGGGCTGTACGTGTGAATGTGAGTGTGTGCATGTGTGTGAGGGTGTGTCTCCCTCAGTCAGCCCTCGGGACTACGCTACACCTGAGCCCAGCTTGCAGACGGGCTTACTGCATGTGGGACAGACGCCACTGTAGTCCTGGCATCTCGCTGACCACGTTATCCTCTACTGAGGACGCTGCTGGGGAAACCGCTAAGGTATCTCTCTAAATCTCCCTCCCTCGCTTCTACATTGGCAAAGCTGACCACAGGAATGTGCAGAAGAGGCTGTCTTGTGCCAAGGATAGTCACCAGCCCTGTCCTCCTCAATCTGACCACAGACTAAGAGGCTTCCTTTCCCATAGAAAAAAAAAGAATCGATCATGTTGCTAGAATATCACATTTCCCATCAATCTAACACCACCAGTTTCTCTTTGTTGCTTTTCACTCTTAAAATGAACCTCTCTGCAAAACCTGCAAGGCCTTCTAAATGGCCTCCTCCCCCATCCATTTCTCCCCACTCGGCGGCTCTGAGGAGTTGTCTGGAGAAACGTGCAGGTCTATGGCATCACTCGTATATTTTCTCTGAGTTGGGCCTGGCCACCTTCCTGAGGAAGGAGCTTGCCTTCTGCTGCATTTGATCACAGCTGCAATTTATACTGACGCAGTTTTGAAACCACCTCCCATTTCCCCGGGCAACCAGATCCCACAAATTTGCCTGAAGTCCCGTGGGCTCTGGTGAATCTATACAACCTGAACCCCGAGGTCTTCGCTTCTGTCCGACAGCCTGGCGGTCACCTAAGGAGGTGTTATATACTGGGGAGGCTTAATGACTTTGGTAACCCAGGAAAGCACTGATTTCAGCGTGGCCTTCTTAGGTGGGTCAAAAGAGTAAGGCATCCTTCCCCTTAAGAAGCAACCTTAGCAGTGCAGCAAGAATCCATCCTAAGAAAGCGCTTATATTCCAGACTCAACTGGTTTTAACTGGGCTTCGGACTCAGGAGGAATTTGTCTGGTTCTCTCGTCCCAGACACTCTTCAGTTCCTATCAGCAGGGCTGATTAAGTTTTCTAAGAAATGCTGCACTTCCTGTATCTCAGCTTGTAGAGCTGTAATTCGTCAGTTCTCGGTGTTAGCAAGTCCCTTGGGACGAGATCATCCAGCCTAGTTCTCTGACGCCAGGGGCACAAAGGTCTTCTGGGATGGGTGGCAGAGGCTCTATCCATCTAACAAGGACTTGGGAAGGACGCCGAGAAGGGCCACACGCTGCCTTTTACCACACGCTCTTCTTTTCGGGGTGTTACTAGGGCTTGGGCTTGGCCTGCCACAGCCCCCGTGACTGGCATTTGCCTTTTCTGTGACTCCAGAGAATGTGGGTTGGTCACCTCCCCTGAGGGCCAGTCAAGGCCGTAACGCATCACCCTCCCCTCCCTCCTCTAAAGTTGACTTTCTGGAAAATACACACAGACCCTCCTTTGCGGCCAGCCCTGGAAAGATAAAGGACAAAATATCGTACTTAAGAGACACTGACATTAAGGATTGAAAAGAAATGTGGATTTCCAAATTAAAAAAAAAAAGCCAATGTGATTTCAAGTAAAAATACGGTTGTAAATTCAGCCAGCCACACATCGAACTCCTTCTCCCTGGAGGAAGATAACTTACTTCTCATGAGGGAATTCGTGTTTAGATACGGGCTAGTCCTATTTCTGTCCCTGCAGGCCCAGCTAATTTGGGTCAGCTGTGTGTATAAACATTTGCTTACTTAGAGCTCAAAAAAGATTCCAAGGTAAGGACAGACCTGCTGTCCCCTGCTTCTAAACTCTTGCTTCCAGCAGGAGCCCAGGAAAAGGAGAAGACAGGTGGTGGGGCCGCCATCCATCGGTTAAGGAGAAGAGCTGACTCTCCAGCACGGGGGAGGGGCCCTGGGGCTGGTGGCAGCTCTCATGGAAGAGGCAGGCCTGTGCCAGAGCCAACCTTCTCTCATGGAGTCGCTCACCACCAAGCCTGGACGGGGAGAACCTGACCCCTCTGGGATATGGATAAGGACCAAGAGGGAGCATCAAAGAGCCAGTGTCCTGGGGCAGCGGCTGGAGCAGTGTTCCTCAAAGTGCGGGCTCCTGGACCAGCATCTTCAGCATCAGCTGGAAAGTTATCAAAAATACCAACTCTTGGGCCTCACCCCAGACCAACAGAATCCCAAACTCTGGGAGGGAGTGGGGGCACCCAGGGGAGCCTGTGCTTTCACAAGCCTTCCAGGCGATTCTGATGCCCAAGTTTGAAGAGCACGGCTCTGGCGTTTCCCAGGCCAGCAGGTCCTGATCTGGAGTCTTGGGGAACCTGGGAGTCCAAAAAGGGAGCAATGACGTCTAGCATTGATTTCTCAGTATTTCAGAAAGCTGAACAAGGGGGTGTTTGCCCAGAGAAAGGCTGCTTGGGCTAATGGAACTGTCACTTTGCATGGTTACTGCCTAGAATCATAACAACTTGGTTGAGAACTGTTTGTTCCCATCAAAAAGTATTGGCTGGTAAGGTTATAAGCCATGAATTAATCAAAGACAGATAGATGGATTAATAATTCACATATGGAAGGCTGTTTGGGAGGAAAACAAAATTAATTCAAACATAAGCTCTAGGGCAGTGATGGGTATAATTAAAGAAGTTTTGGGTGACTAAAATTTTGGGAGCCATCCCTTTGGCCTCTGTCCTTGCTTTGCCATCTATTTTTGGCACAGCCTTGCACAAGTCTGAGAGTCTTCCTGCGCTCTCAGGTTCCCACTTATAGAATGGGTTTAGTCTGCTTTCTCTCTGCCTCGCTTTTAAAGACAAACTGGATCATGGGTATTTTTCTTCAAAGCAAATGGGACCCATGAAGGCTTTGGAAATTGTTTGATCTCTTTGGGTTGGAAATAGGTTGCCTACTCAGTACCCAAATGATAGTCTTTGGGGTCTAAAAAGAGAGCATTTTCCCAGTGGAGCTTTGTAATGTTTAGAACCTGGCTTGCACCCTTGGAGAATTTAAGGCATCGTACATGAATACTTTGGAATTTCTCAGAAGGGTCCAAAGACAAATTCAAAGGATCAGCATAATTACTGATTTACCAGTTTCTAAAGAACAAGGAAGTAGAAAATCAAAGGGAAGAGGAGGTGGGGGTAGGGGAGAAGGAAGTGAAGGATTTTTTGACCCAAATGGGCTCGGCGTGAAAATCCAGGGCGCCTTTTCCTATCTCTGAATTGGAGATGTTAGAAGGAAGGGCAGAGGACAGATTGATCCCTTGTGCCGTGTTCTGCTCAAACAGCCAAGAGTGTGTGGTAGGTGCTGGGGGGAGAAGCCAAGTCAGACGGATGCACTGAGGAGAGGAAGGCAGGCTTTGCCCAGTCAACGTCCCAGAGCTATCAGGAAGCTGCGTGTGGTGTGGGGACAGAGCAGCCCCACCATTCCTCTTGCTATTCAGGAGAAGGATCACAGAGTTCAGGGGTTTACCAAGGCTTTGCAGTAAGTATGTGGCTGCTGAGGCTTGGATTAGTCTGCAAAACAAATAAAGGCAGCACCATTCATAGACAGCTCATCGCATCCTGCAATTCATTGACATCGATCAGGTCAGGGAACCCGGCTGCCCAGACATTTCACTCTGGCCCGCGGTGCGCTCTCTGAGGCTCTGCAGAGAAGTCCCAGCCTCTTGGGGGCCCTGGTCCTCTGTAATCCACTTCGGTTCTCTCATCTCGTTTTCTCCATTCCAGGAGAACAAACTGGATGTTCCCTCCTCTCTCCCCTGGGTGCATACAGATCAGCCCCGCTGCTCCAGCAGAGGGAGAGGGAGGGAAAGTCAGTTCTTTCCTTCAGTCCTCCCATAACTCACTCCAGTGTGGTAACTAAAGAGGGGCGATCTGGGGGACCCTTCTAGACTGCAGGCTCTTTGAAACAGAGTTCACACCTGACTCCTCTGGGTTCCGCAGGGCTTTCCTCACAGTAGATGGTCAACGTATTTATGGAATGGCTCAATGACTTTTTTTTTTAAGGAGAGTGATGCCCAAAGAAAAGAAAGTAGAGGAGGAAATTTGCATGAGAATGACGAACAAATTTGAGCCCCACAGGTCTACAGGGGAGGAGGCTGGACAATGAGAAAACAAAGAACCCTAACGTCCTCTTGCAGCCTTGAGCCTGGCAGGGAGGAGCAGAGCAGGCGGTGAAGCCATCCCTCTGAATTCTACTTGATGGTGACAAAGGAAGCAACTCGAAATCTGCATTCTGAGATGCAGAGGTAGGATTCTGGAGAGGAGTCTAAACAATACATTCTTAAAGGAATGTGTCAAGAGGCTATTTCACTGAGCTTTCACGACTATTTTGAAAGGGTGAACACCACAACTCACTCTATAAACATGAACACAACCTTAGAACCCAGCCTTGGGCCCATGCTTCTGGCTGGAGAATCCTTTCCCATTGTTTAAAGTTGTCTGAGAGGCTCTGTGCTGGACTCAGGACCCTGCCCTCCTTGACTAAATTCAAGGAATGATGCCTTTAAATGCATTCAAAGCACCAAAAGGGGAAAATCCTAAACCTAAAATGTGTACAAGCAAGAAGTGAGTAAATGATTCAGAGGGGTGATTCCGGGGCTTTGTAAAAGAGAACTTGATTCTCTGACGGCTGCGACTGCTGGCTGCTCACTAGTAACTTGGAAACCTGCAGGATGCATGCCCAAGGAGGGAGACAGGACATTCAATCCATGTGGACTGGTCTCACTAGTCACTGAAAACCACACCTGGTTCTGCCCATTGGAGTAAGTGGGGCAGAAACCTCATACTGAATTATCAGTTCGGTGTGCAGTTGAAGTGAGATGGGTCACACGGCTAACTCAGTGGGATTTTTCATTCACTCTTGGTCATAGGGAGGTGCAGATTATCATGTTGAACCTGAAGTTATTCCATTAAGACCATTTGGCATGTTTATATATATACATATATATCCCCCTCACCCCCCCAAATTCCAACTGGATGTTTTTGACCACAAAATACTTGATGACAGAAGCTTCTAAGAACGCACTTTTAAAGTTTAAGTGATTCCTGTTGAATATTTGAGACAAGAGCCCTATGTCAGGATCAGGAGACCTATGTTCTGGCCTCAATTCTACTGCAACAGGAGGGGGCTGCTTTTTTTTTTTTTTTTTTTTTTTGCAATGGACAGTGCCCTTGGGATTGAACCTAACGCACAACTCAAGACTCATCCTGCCCAAAGAGAGCAGGCGTTTCTGTCGACCAGCTAAGAACAGCAGCGCTGTACAGTAATAATGTAAGGACAGTGAACAATTCACTTGGCCATCAGCTTTCAATGTGCGCAACTGATGACAAGTTTGAAAATTCAGGGGGAAGAGCAGGGTGATTTCAGACTTTATGGATAACGGGAGACGGTGTTAATAATTTTACCGCACGTGCATTTCAATTCTCACAGTGCAAGTTTGTACGGAGGATCACACTGAGCCCTGCCTTTGGGATGCTTGAAAAGTCTCCTAGGCCTTGCCAATCTCAGTTCTATGAGCATTGAAGATAATGGGTCTTGGACTTTGGACCAGGGGTTTTCAAACTCAGTTTGAAGAGGACCAGCACTCTGGGGAGGACAGTGAGGGGTGTCAAGGAGGGATGAGGGGGGCCGAGTGAGTGGGGGAGAGGCTCCCAACACACGTGTGTGTATATATATATATTTATACACACAGATACAACATAAAGTACCTTTAACTATTAAAAAATTGAAAATCATGAAATTAGATGATCTCTCCTGACTATTTGTTGGCTTGCTTCCTTCCAATTCACCCCCTGCCTTCCTCCTTTCCTCTTTCCTTCTGCTTCAAAATTCAGATAATAGAATGAAGAAATCAAAAGCCCTCTTGTGGAACGTGAGTTTATACTACTTGTGCTTCTTCTCACCCTCTCCTCTAAAATCTCGTCTCTCCAATTGTTGGTTGTTGCTCATTGTTGTCCCTACACACTACCCTGCATATATGGTCTGGTTCACAACGAAACATGCTGAATTTGATTGAATTGAAAGGGCCCTGAGACCATGGTCACCTTTACAGAGGTACCCGCGGGGGGCTGAGTAAACAGACTGCAGGGTTAATCTCCAATTGGGCTGAGAGGCTAACCTTCTCCACCCTAATCTCTCAGCAGGTGCTGAGGCTCGCAGAGTCTGGCTTCCCCAGAAGAGCTAAATCATCAGCCCGGGCTGGGGCTGCAGTGGGCACCTGCTGTGACTCTGACATCTTTCCACAGCAGAATTGACACCTTTGGGAAGCCTCGTTGAGAGGAAGTGGCTGACGACTACGGAAAACTGGTGATGCTTAATTAACCACTCGTTTTGCTGAATTAAAAAGAAAACATTATTGCTTTTCTCATAGGACTTTTCTCCTAGCAATGATCTTCATGATACAATGGACTATGGATGCAAAATTTCTCTCAAGCAGTACTTCATTAATATGTACATTATTTGAGTCTGAAAATCCTGGAAAACAAAATATTATATCTTTGTTGGTCCCTACTCCACAAATGGACATTTCATTTGCACAGTTTATACTGGGTGTTATTTAAAAACATATCATAGGGTTCATTTCTATCTTTATGAGGTGTTTTTACTGATTCCCTGAGATTTAACCCCAGAAGCCTCAAAAAGAGGTTTATTCTCATCCAAATGCCAGCTGCAAGACCCAGGCTCAGAGACTCATAGTCCAGCACACGGGCTGAACTTTAGATGAGGCACGAACAGCTAGAGCAGACTGAAGGGCACTGGGTCTCTCTACTCCAGTTTCCTTTCCAGAACCAGGGGAAAGAAACGCCCACGAGGGAATCGATTATTTTAACCCACTGACGTTGACGTGCGTATCCCATACTCCAGGGCGTGTGGTAGTCTGCGATCTGTTGTGAGGATCCCAGTAGGTGGAGCTACACTGGTCTACAATCCACTCTCAGCAAACCATTCTTTCAGGCAGTAGTTAAACAAGTTAGCGTCCACACACCTGCAGCAGGACTCAGAGAAAGGCTGGCCCGGTCAGCCTGGAGTGAACGTGTACTCAGCGGCCCTGAAGTCTGCAGCCCCTCTTGCGCTACGGCGCCTGCCCTGCTGGGCTAAGATGGAACAGGCCGCATAGACTTGCTCTGCCGGTTCCTCATCTTCCTTGTACCTACTTCTGCAGCAGCCTCTCCGTTGCAGGGGTGAGCTGTTTCTTCTGTGCTAAGCAAACCTCTAAAAATTTTTTTCTGCTATAAGGGGCACCTGCCATTTAGTGGCTACAGGGCTCAGCCATGAACGAAGAGCTACATGGGAATCACCAAAGGAAAGAGGCTGAAAAATTCTTAGTTCTGTTCTGGCTCTGAAGCACAGGCTGTATTTAAAGTGTTTAGACCTTGGGTCACTAGGCACCAAGGTGAAGAACTGCAGGACATCTTCTCAAGGGCAAATGCTTGCTGCCTACTCAACGTTGATGGAACCCAGGTTTCTGCAAGAGTCATTACGGATCTTGACTTTTAAACTGACCTATGACTTAAGGAGCTTCAACTGACTTCATTCATATGCAGTGTTACCCCTATTTCTATGGATAACCAAAAGTTAGCCTCGATTGCTCAGCTGGCAGGAAATTTCAAACATAACTTCTAAAAGACATGATACTGCCTCTTCTTTGACCCCAATTATGACCAGGAATTCAACGTTATACCATTTGTGCTTGAATGGCATCGCTGCTCACTACTCTATAAAGGAAGCACTTGACAAATATTCAGTTAGTTGTGGACTCAAGTACCCAAACAGAAGTGGAACGGAGGGGGTGAGGAAAAGATGATGTGATTAATGCTTCCAGAAAGAATAGTGACCATATCCAATTTTAAAAGGAGAGGGGGAAGGGATGTCCATAGTGAATTGTGTTCACTGTATAAACACACCCACCATTTTGGGATTTTAGGTACAACTGATATGATTAAAGGGGAGTAGCATTTGGGGAAAAGCCTCCAAGATCTGGGATTTCTCAGACACAGTCTGAGGATCTTAGGAGACCAGTCCTTGGAATTAGACTGTGACCCGCTGAGATGCTTTCCAGTTCCCCAACTGCACGGTCCCACAGCCGGTATCAGTCAGCGAGAGACGCAGGTACTCACGTGGTATTATGCCTTGGTTAGCCAGCTGCTCCTGGGTCCTTCTCTGTTGAAGTCGTAACTGTAAAACTTAGAAAAGCAAGTGTTAGGTTGTGAGTTGGGCTAACACTGACTACAGTCACTCACATCTGCTTCGTACTTTTTTGGCATCACACTTCTCACTTTATTTCTAGAAGAGTTCTGGAAATTTGTGTGGGGGACATTTGCGTTTTTGTCATAGATCTGGAGAAAGGAGGATGGGAGAAGCTGAGGGGGTCTTAGGGCTTTGCAGCAAGTAGGTAACAACCAGAAATCAGAAGACTTGTCTCCTCTTTGGAGAGAATGCTATTCTCTCAGCACCAGGCTTCTGCTCTCCCCACCAGCCCTCCTGGGAGCTGAACCCCATCAAATAATGCAGAGACTCTGGCCATGATTTCAAAGGAAGAGATGCAGTAGAGAAAGCTTGGTCTCTCCAGTCTCACCTGGGTTCAAATCCCATCTCTAGTCCCTTCAAAGGTGGGTCAATCTGGGCAAGTTGCCCAACCTCTATGAACCCCAGTCATGTGTAAATGTGGACACCTTGCAGAATTGCTATGAAATCTGGTAAGACAAGGCAAGCAGGTTGCTTAGCAGAGCGCCTGGCACGGAAGTCATCAGTAAGTGGTAGTACTATGAGAATCTGCAATCCACCTGGAAATTCAGAGAAGGGCTACTGGAGTCATGCTTTGCTCAGAAAAACATTGTAAAACGTCCAAACTGTCAGTTACAAAACTTTACGTTACTACCCCTGTGCACAAATAGATAATATACCATACATACATTTATATGTATAAGTAATTATATACATGATACACACATTACGAGTGCAGTGCTTATGACTTTCTCCTCCTCACTCCTCTCCCCCTAAAACATCCATCTTTGGACATGTACATTTTGTCAGGGAGATTCTGAGTTTGCCATCTTGGTTCCTGGGTTTACGCTACTCAGGATAAGGAAAGAGAGAGCAGAAATTTTCAAAGAGAGGGATCGGCTTAATCACTTCATAATGAAAAGAGAGAACAAAAATTGCTTTTATGAAGATAAAATTAGAATGGAGGGAAGAGAAGCAAAAATGAGAAGGATATGTGGCCTGACTTTAAAGTTTATTATTTCAGAGTGAGGCTTCAGAGCAAATGCAATCCTAAGATATACTGAAAGAGCAATGGAGAAATAATTTTAAAAAGCATTTCTATGGGTTTTGAATTGGACTCTCACCAACCTTCTTTGGGAGAGACCAATGTTGCTGAATTGCTTGTAATTACTTTTGGGGGCTAGACTGTGCTTTATCGGAGAGCTTCATATAACTCCATCTGGGGACCGGATAACAAGGAGGGCTAAATCATTTCACTTTGTGGACAAAGGAAAATGACAGGAGAGCCACAATTTACACCCTCCTTCAGACCGACCCTCTCACTAACAAAAACTGTAAAATGTGAAAAACAACTACCCGAGGAGTCTGAATAATAAAAAAAATCAGGCAGATTGTGGGGAGGAGTTGAAACCTGGAGAAGTGACTTACGTGGGGGTGAGTTTCCCATTTTGGGGTGGAGGCTTTGCCTTGAGGGTGGCCTGGAGTCATGAAGTGGCAAGTCATAGGTAGTTAAAACTTCACTAGAAAACCTGCTCATCTTTCCAGCCAGAGGAACCAGGGAAAGGTGCCCAGACAACCGGGGTAACCTGCAGGGGAGGGAGCTGCAGAAGGAGGGGATTCCCTGGCTCCGCGTCTGAATCTCTCCACAAGTTTCCGGTTGATTCCTTGATGATGTTTCCATGGGGCAGATTCAAAGCAGCACAGCAAAGGTTTAAAATTAAACTGAAATCTGAACCTCTGTGCACATTGGTACGCGAGAGCTAAAAGTGTGACTCTCCCTGGGTTCGCTGTGGGCTAAAACAAAAACACCAGCATTCTCCTGAGGATTATAAAAGAACTCAGAGTCTATGTAACATAAGACTCACAATGTCCAGGATGCAATCCACAATCACTCTACACACAAAGAACTGGGAAAATGAGGCCCATTTCAAGTGGGGAAGACAGTAACAGATGCAACTTAAAATGACCCAGATATTACAATCGTCAGACAAGGACTTTAGATATTTTCAACTACGCTCAGCGAAGTAAATCGAAACGTATTTGAAATGAATGTGAAGATAGGAAATGACACCAGCAAACTAGAATATGTAAAAAGAAATCAAATGGAAACATTAAACTTAACAGTCGAATATCTGAAGAAATTTACTGAAAGGGGTGAAAAGAAGAATGAGTATCAGAGGAATGAATCAGTACCTTTGAACATAGGTCAAACTGAGAAAGAACAAGAAAAATAATGGAAAAAGTGGACAGTCTCAGGTATCTGTGTCACAGTATCAGAATATCTAATATTAGACAATTAGAATCCCAGAAAAAGAGCAGAAAAATAAGTAATGGCCAAAACATCCCAAATTTGGTGAAAAACAGAAATGTACAGATTTAGAAAGTTCAACAAGTCCCAAACTAGACATATTCACAAAAAACCACACTTTGAAGCATCATAATCCAACAGCCGAAAACCAAAGAGGAGAAAAGTCTTGAAAGCAGCCAGGAAAAACAACACATGGCCAAAATGGAAACCTTGATTTAAACTACTACAGACTTCTTATCAGAAGTCACGGAGTCTAGAAAATAAAACAAAATGAAAACAAAATTAAAAACTGCCAACCTAGAATAGAAAATGCCTTGAGGAATGAAGACAAAATTAAGGTATGTTCAGGTAAAGGAGAAGTAGGGTAATTTGTTGCCAGCAGACTTTTACTACAATACATGCTTAAGGAAATGCTTCAGGCTGAAGGGAAATGATCTCAGAAGGAAACCTAGATATTCAAGAATGACTAAAGCACCATCAGAAATGGTAAACTGCTTGGTAAATTTTAAAGACTTTTTTCTTCCTAAGTTTACACATATATAGATATGTAACTATGTAGAGAAAAATTATATCATTGTCTTCTGATGTTCTTAAGGCAGGTAGACGTAAGACAGGTAATAACTAGAACATAGAGGGCCCTTTATTACAGCAAGGTTTCTACACTTTGCATGCAGCGGTATAATTTAACTATAAGTAGACTGTGAAAGATTAATTATGTATATTGTAACCCCTAGAGCAACTAATAAATGAAAATAGAAATCATTTAAAAAATCAATAAATTAAAACAGAATGTTAAAAAATATTCAGGTAATCCAAAATAAGGCAAGAAATGGGGAATTAGAAACAAAAAGTAGAGGGACAAGCAGAAGACAAGTAAAATGGTAAACCTAAATCCAAAAACATCAACAATTACATTAAATATGAATGGTCTAATCCACACTCAAAAGGCAGATTATCAGAAGGGATAAAAAAGAGCAACATTCAATTATATGTTGTTTACAAGAGACACATTTTACACATAAAGACTTAGACTGGTTAAAAACAAATAGATGGAAAAAAGATATACCATATGAACAGTAATCACAAGGTGGAATGCCTACTACATCTGTATCAGTTAAAATAAACTTCAAGTCAAAGAGTATTATCAGAGATAAAGAAGGGACATTTCATAATTATAAAAAAGATCATTCATCAGGAAGATCTAGCAATTATAAATTGATAGGTATTTCATAAGAGCCTCAAAATACATGAAGCAAAATCTGACAGAATTAAAGAGGTAAACTGACAATTTCAAAATCATAGTAGGAGACTTTAAGGTCTCTCTCACCGTTGGATAGAACTAGATAAACATGACATAGAGGATTTGAACAACAATATCAACCATCTTGATTTAACTGGTATTTTTAGAGCTCCACACCCAATAACTACAGAATTAATATTCTTCTCAAGTTCTCATAGTAATTTGCCAAGATTTGGTAGGCCATAAACCAAGTTTCAACAAACTCACAGAAAACTGAAGTTATATAAAGTCTTTCTCTGATCACATTGGAATTAATTAGAAATCAGAAACAATACACTATTTAGAAAAATACTAGGCAACAATTTCTAAATAATGCATAGGTCAAAAAAGAAATCATGAGGGAAAGTAGAGATATTTTGAACTAAATGATAATGAATATACAACGTATTACAATTTATGGGATACAGCTAAAGCAACGTTTAGAGGGAAACATAGAGTTTTAAGGAGAATGATTTAAATAACCAATGACCTAAGTTTCTACCTTAATAAGCTGAAGAAGAAATATACCCAAAGTAAGTAGAAGGAAGAGAATAATAAAGATTAAGGGCAGAAATCTTCAAAATAGAAAGCAGACCAGTACCAGCAAAAATTAACAGAACCAAAGGCTGTTTCTCCGCAAAGACCAACAAAGCTGAAAACCCCCCAGCTAAAGTGATTCAGAAAAACAAAAAAATTTAAAAAAAGAAAAAGAGAAAGAATAATTTTACCAATATCAAGAATTTAAAAATGAATTATTACTATGATCCCTAGACATTAAAAAGGATAATAGAAAAATACCATTAACAAATTTGAGCCAATACATTTGACAATTTAGATAAAATTTCTTGAAAATTACAATTTACCAAAATTAATACAAGAAACATAAATCTGAATAGTGCTATATTTAATAAATAAATTACACTGATTATCAAAAACTTGCCCCTCCCCTCAAAAAACCCTCCAAGCCCAGATGGTTTTACTAGCGAATTCTGTTAAAATATTGTGATTAAGATATTACTTTCCATTATAAATCAATAAAAAATGTTAAAAAAAAAGATAGTACTTTCCAAATTCTCCATCAAATAGCTTCCATATTCTATATATTATACCAATAGTAAGAATCCTCAATTATTTTGTATTTCAAAATCATCGATCTTAATTTAGTAAAGGAAAGAGTTTAGAGCTATCCCATTATTAGAGTCAATCATTTTGAAGCCTGTTTCAGTTCTCTAGATATTAAGCTATTTTGACTTAGACTGCATGTATTAAGGTAACAGAAGTACAAATGGAAGAGAAAAATATAAAAACATTTTGAACAAAAAATTGGAAGAACTTGGTGACATGAGGGAAGAGAGAAATACATATCCTCATAT